CCTACTGAAAATATAACTATTTACATTGATCCTGTCTGTTAGAGCCTAGTTCCCCATAGTATTTAAAAAAAACCCCTAAGCTCAGTGGCATTCAAACAGTGCCAGGTGGCAATTGCCTTCATCTGCTTTCTCCCTAAAAATGAGAAATGTATTTTTCTACCAAGAAAATTGGTTAAAAGCATTTTTTTTTTAGCCAAAGAGAAAACGATTTTATAGCCCTCAAGGCCAGTACAAATTGAAGAGGAGGAGTTAGGGGGCTATACCATCACAGTACCATCTGACATGATGCCCACTCTCTTTGTATCAGTTTCACAGAATCATAGAATCATAGCATCCTTAAGGTTGGAAGTGAACTTTAGAGATCATCTAGTCCAACTCCCCTGCTCACGCAGGGTCACCTAGAGCACGTGGCACAGGGCTGTGTCCAAGCAGGTTTTAAAGATCTCCAGAGAAGGAGACTCCACAACCTCTCTGGGCAGCCTGTTCCAGGGCTCTGCCACCCTCACTGTTAAGAAATTTTTCCAGCACTGAAAAGAGGCCAGCCCCTTCTTCCTCACTGTCTCCCTTGAGGTATTTATAGACACTGATCAGGTCCCCTCTCAGCCTCCTCTTCTCCAGGCTGAACAGACCCAGCTCTCTCAGCCTTTGCTCATACGGCAGATGTTCCAGGCCCCTGATCATCCTCGTAGCCCTGCGCTGGACTCTCTCCAGCAGCTCCACATCCCTCTTGTCCTGGGGAGCCCAGAACTGGACACAGTACTCCAGATGTGGCCTTACCAGGGCTGTGTAGAGGGGGATGATCACCTCTCTCGACCTGCTGGAGATGCTTTTCTTAATGCACCCCAGGATCCTGTTGGCCTTCTTGGCCACCAGGGCACACTGCTGCCTCATGGTCATCTTGTCGTCCACCATGACACCGAGGTCCCTCTCTGCGGGGCTGCTCTCCAGCAGGTCCACCCCTAATCTGTACTGGTGTCCAGGGTTATTCCTCCCCAGGTGCAGGACCCTGCACTTGCCCTTGTTGAACTTCATGAGATTTCTCACCACCCAGTTGCCCAGTCTATCCAGGTCTCTCTGGATGGCAGTGCAGCCCTCTGCAGTACCAGTTACTCCTCCCAGTTCGGTATCATCAGCAAACTTGCTCAGGGGGCACTCCATCCCTTCCTCCAGGTAGATGATGAATAAATTGAACAGGACTGGACTGAGGACTGACCCTTGGGGGACACCGCTAACCACAGGCCTCCAGCTGGACTCAGCGCCACTGATCATCACCCTCTGAGCTCTGCCATGCAGGCAGTTCTCAATCCACCTCACCATCCACACATCTATCCCACAGCTCCAGAGCTTGCCCAGGAGGATATTTAAGGGCTGGTATCAAAAGACTTCGCCTGCAATCGACTTCCATTTCTGACTTGATTTGCTGCATAGACTTTACTGCATGTGTTTTTGACGTGCAGTTTTATGCTCTCCTAACACATATTAGCCAATGACCTCAATGTTTGAAGCGAGACTGTAAGGACCTCTATTACCGCCACTAAGAAATGCGTTTAAAACACAAGCACTTGCTGCCTCATCACATCCGATCAGTGACCTCTTCAACCAGCTTACAAAGTAGGCCAAAGACATTCATATTCTTCTAGGACCTACAAAGGAGCTAAATGAGCTTTGAAAACTATTGCTATTTTTACAGGCTTGCTGTGAAAAGGTGCATTTTAAAGCAGCATTGTGCAATACAGTTCTTGACAGAAAAACGTGACCTACTGTAAACAGGACTTGGTGAAGTGTGAGATCATGTTTAATTCATGAAGGATAGTGTAATTTTGCCAAGATTTTTTTTTCACATTCAGTATTTAACGGAAAAACTAACCTAAGAATGAGGTCCTAAGAATATAACCTAAGAATTAGGTCCAGAAGAACTGTACTAGTGTGTAAAAATTGTGAACTACTATTCCAGCAAATCCATTATGTTCAGACAGTAATAATATTCAAAAAGTTAATAAGCATCAAATCATTTTAAGTATCATGGCAAAAAAGTGATTTGCACCTAGATTTTGAAGTTACAACAGCCAACTTTTTGCAAGAGCACTGTCAGACATTTAAGGGGTCTTTCTCCTCCCTAACTTCATGGTTTTATGTGTAGGTTCTGATATTTCCTATCCCTTCTAATAGTTTTTTTTACAAGTCTGTTTGCATCTTTTTATTGCTAGACAGACTAATCAACAGCACGCTACTAATAAATGTACTAACTGATATCTAGGGGGAAAGGATTTTTCTTCTTTCCTGCTTCTGAAGCTCGTTAATTTAGTTTGTGTGCAAGGCAAACCATGGAAGATGAATTAAAAAGCTATCATGTCCCCACAAGGTGCAGCTTTTTGAGCAGTTGTGACCTTACACATACCTCCGTATGTACTAGGTTACCTACACATAACGAGAACCCAAAGGGCAGCATATTAAGACTATTTTGAGGTTTATGCCAACTCCATCACTGAAACTACTCCATTTTTAATGGAATTTTCTATCTTTAGCATATTAAATGGTGACAGTATCTTTCAAGGTAGTGCAGTTATGCAGGAATAGTAGCATTAAATACTACCTGGTGCAAGCCCCTTACCCTCCCCCCAGAAGTAAAACCCCTCTAGTAATATACATCCTGCCCATGACTGATCATATTTGTCATTTGAAACATTGCTTCGGGGGGGACTTTGTATCATCTAAGGGCTCATTTGTTGACAGAAAAAGGATGTAAGAACTATAGTTATCTCTTCTATCAGAACATTTCATTGCTCTATTTTTCTGCTCTTCTAGTCACAAAACTGAAGCAGCATTTCTAAATTGCCATCATTCAGATAATTCCCTTCTGTGAAATAACACCTCTAAAATTCAGAGCTACCTCTTAGCTAGTCTTGAGAAATTAGAATTAAATGTGGACTGAATTGTGAGAGTGTAGCTTGTGCTTCACAAAGCTGCATTTTAAGCATCAGCAGTCCACATGCCATACTCATGCAGGAGAAGAAATTTATGCTCAGAACCTAGAAAGAAACAGAAAAGTATTGACACCAAAATATTTTTTTTTTCTTTTCTCCACAGAGAGTACTCCTTTCCACCAGGGAGCAAACTCCCTAGTTCACTTGTAATTATTCAATCTTTCTGTTTAAGTATCTAAATTGAGAGGTATTCCTAGAATTTCCATTTGCTGAGTTTATGCAGTTTAGGCAGTTAAATGTTGAATAGCTGAAAAGCTTTTTTTTTTTTTTTTTTTTTTTAAACAAAGCAGAAAGAACAGCACACTATAGCACCCTCAAAACTCTGTTCTTTCCATCTCTTGTCCCTATCTTGACTTTCCATGTTTCCATTTTTTTTAAACTTGTTGCTCATTACACTTCAAATTATGCTTTTTTTTGGAAATTTCTTCTTTCTTCTCCTAAATATTCTGCGGTGTCTCCATTCCTTTTTGTCCATCTGAAAAACTTAAATATATGTATTTGCATTTCCCAATTTATGCCAGTTCCACACACTAATGTAGGGGCTCCGGCCAAAAAGTGGCCTTTCATGAGTAAGTCCATCAAGATCTGATGAGCTGAAGGGTTCACGTCTGCTAATACACCATTCTCTCCTCCTCCTGCTGCAAACGCCAGCTTGTTGGCCACAGCTCTCCTGTCCTTTCTTCTATCCCAGTTCCTGCTGTTTAGCAGACATGGCATCAGTCTAAGCAAAGACTCTGTAAGACTCTGGTAAGACTCTGGTTCCTACAACAGTAAAAGCTGATGAAAAAGAACAATCATCCACTAAAACAGGAGACCACCTAACAAGGAGCGCTTCTCTGACTCTGCAATATTGGTTATTTATGTATCTTTTCTCTTTCAATATAGAATTCAAGAGAGTGTTAGGCATCCAAGAATTTAAATTCAAGTGACTTGAAAGAACTTCCAGTCTTAAGGATTTGAACCATTTTAAAACAAGGACTTCAAGAGGCCAATCATACAGACATTTTGGAAAATACAATTCCACATTTATTTTGTTCCTTTGCTGTTTCTGAAGCAGCTCTGAAGACTGAACACTGAAGACTGTTACCATGTCTATGCACTCTCCCTGTGTAATGTTTTTTTCCTGTGACGGTTTCATATTTCTTTATTGTTTAAATACACACACACACACACATATTTTAATTTTACAATGGGACCATTGCCTATGGTGATGCTGTTGTGTTGTGTTGCACTTCATGCAAATATGTCATTTACTGTACAAATCTATCAAAAAGCAGATTTTTGAGGTAGTTGCCCTGCATGCTGTGATATGTGAGGATAGAGGAAGATGAGGCAAAAGGAAGAAATATCTGCACTTTTCTACAGTTCTGAAAACTGCACAAAATTCTTTGGAGCTTCATGTACTAGTGTTACGCCCCACACCTGCATTCACGTGAATAAATTGTTAGTATCTCAAAATTTGGAACACAGATGATCTTTAGCATTTTTAAATATATTATCTTCCATTATGAATTAAAATCATTTTATGTATTATATTTCAAAAGAGTTAAGGATGCAATTTCAATACAACAAATCATTTAAAGTATTCTGTTGAATGAAAGCTATTTGTGAAAAAGCTTTCACAGTGTTATGAATTAAGAACAAAAAGTCAAATACAAGAAAATTCATTACTTGGAAATAAAATTTTTATTAAATATTTGAAGTACTCAACAGCAGAAAGCTTAAGTGATGTTTATGAAACTATAAAATGCCTTCAGAGTGTTATGAGACAAATCTCAGACATGAGATATGGTGGAACCAATTACATTGCATTTCAAAATGCATTCTTTTATCTATTATTTCTATCTTCTATACACTTTCTTCTATCATGATCTAAAAAAATGAAAACACTTCCCCCGAAAGACCTTAATTTATGAAATCATTTGGATACCTCCAGTGTTTAAAGTTTTGAAATAACCAATCATGTTATTGTCTTATTCACTGCTTTTCTCTTATGGAGATACTCAGATTTAGGCAAGCTTCTATTAGCCAACACTACTCTTACATAAACTACTTGTTCCATTCTGAAGTTTATTTTCTAAAGCAGCAAGAAACTCAACACTTTTAAAATTGGTTCTTCCTATCAGTGATCAATAAAGAACACAATCTCCAGGTTTATGACACAGTCAGCGCAAAAAAAAATTAGAGCTTTGAAAAATTATCTGAATTTTAAACAATTGCATAGTTTACTCTTACTGTACAATCCTGAAAAGTTAAATAAGAAAATGACATATATCAAAATAATAATCTACTCGCAAATATTGTCTTCTTAACTCCCATTAAAAATATTAAAGTGTTTTTGTTCTGAAAAGAATTTGACTTGACAGGAATATCTACATTAATTATCATTAAAGAAACATGCCTTGAATTTGTGTAAAACACACCTAAGTGCAAGTAGAAACCACAGAGTATTATTTTCTACTGTTAGCATTTTCAAACCATGGTATCACTAGATCAGTTTGCTATCTCCAAGTTCAGTAGTGTAATCTGATTATGGAAGACATAAAACACAGATCTGGGCAATATAATCGGTCAGTAAATTTAGAGAAGTATATGAGTCTTTGACAACACAGATCCAGTTAATAAGCATGGTCCCTTTTTGGGACACTTTACATTTCTAAAAATGTACAACATCCTTCTCAAATTGTCTGAGAACAGCAACGCACACTTACATGAGATAGTGTGAGAGATTAAAAGTTTACTCAAGAGCTCCTCTGGCCCGATTCTTCAGAACTCATTTATTTTAACAGGAAAAGCAACAAATTAAAATCATTCTGACTAGAGTCAGTGCACAGTAACCTCATCACTAGTTTAGAGTAACCTGGATAAGAGCTGAATACTAGACGATTTCATCAGCCTGAGCCACACAGCTTCCAGCAACAATCTGACCACTTCCACTTGCATCAGCTCACAAGCCTGTATGGCCAGGCAAGGAGCAAACACTCTGAAGTGCAATTTCTATACATTTTAACATACATACAAACCCTGGATTTCTGAAGAACAGAATGTTTCTCTTTTTTTAATGCCGTCTTTGTGGTCCAACTGAAACTGGACATCATTATACAACATCTTCAGCAACCGTAGTATCAAAAATCTGGTAATAAACTTGATGCTTCATTCCATCTGTCACATTATAGGACCTGATGAAACACTCCAGCCACGGCAAGTCATCTACAGGCAAAAATTTTTTTTGTAATTTTGTATTTTTAAATAAAAAATACAAATAACTAAAAGTGCAAAAATAAAAATATCTAATTTAATTTATTTTTAATTTAAGTATTTTAAAAATACATATTTTTAATTTTATATGAAAGACCTAGAACATGAGGGAGATCTTAGCTAGGTAATCTGAACATATCCAGCAGTTAACCGGAAGAAAAATGAACTGCTCAGTTTGAAGCTGAAATTAAGAAATAGCATTCTAATTTGTATTTTACAATTTTCCTGCACTATTTGAAATTATGTTCAATGACAATTCTCCAAATAATCTCAAAATTTGATACCAGTAGCTGTTTCACAATATAGCACACACAAAGACTTTCTAATAATAAAACTGGTCTCAATGACAGCTATGAGCTTTGAGATACTGCACTCCTAAAAAGCCAGAGCTGTGGCAAAGTTGCTTTCTACCACAGCAGGAATACTGTAGGAAAACCTTTAAGACTGGATTTGAATGGAAGCTTTTTGCCCACTTTCCAGGGATGTCTCCTGTAGCAAGAGGTGCTCCAAAGCAGCATGTGCACTCAACAGCAGAATGTCACCCAAAGCATGGGGCATAAGCTGAATTTCCTCTCAGTTTTCACTAACGTGCTGTGGTCAGGACAGAGGTGCTCTGGTTAACCTCCATATGAACACAGAGGACATGTGAGTGCCTGTCTAGACGTGACCGTGCTCACACATAACTGCACATTACATGAGAATTTACTGAACCATTAATTTTCTCAAAAGGAGCTTTTACTATTACAGAAATATATGAAAATTAATTAGTACCCCCATAAAGACTGATGCACTTTTTAGTTCCGAGTTTTACCATGCATGACTCTGAGACTCTGCACGTGCAATAGCAGCCTGAAGGACCCATTCCCTGTCCATCCCTTTACAAGCACAACAAACTAACCTAGTTTTCTTCCTGGAGGACAGAGTGTGTTCATGGTCATTTGCATCTTTTGTTGAAGAAAATTACTAGTTAAGATTTCAGAGGCAGGAATTTGGAAAAACTTTTCCTGAAAGAGAACAAAAAAGTCAAAAGTGGTAGAGGAAAAGTAAGAAATCATCAGCCAGAACACTGAATGCATATGTTCTTATCATTTAAGGAGCCTAAAAATATTCCAGGTATTTCAGATATTTAACAGAACAGAAAAAACATCAGATTTTTAAAATTATGTAGATAAAAAAAAGTAAAACCTGTATAAATAAATTACAGATCTGTATTTCAATATTCATGAGTATTCAAGAACTACAGTTAACCATAAAGCACCAGATGCTACCAAAACACCTACACACCTATATATACATGCACATAAATATATAAGTGTGTATATATATATATATATATATATGTATATCTATCTCACTGGCAGATATTCCTCATGAACGTCCATATTCGGACAATGTTATGATGAATTGAAGTGGTCAGTCTCCTCAGTCCTCCTCAGCAGCCCCTTACTACAGTGATCAAAACACTTGAGGAACAAAGTCATTCAATAACAAGAGGTCATTGGAATCTGGTTTCATACAAGTGCACTTGGTTTTTCTTCTTTTCCTTTTTTTTGATAGTTTTAGAAACTATGGAGAAAGGCTTATACTTTAAGATACACTTCTGAATGGAAGGGTAAAATAAAGAATAGAATAAGAAAATGTTATATACATATTTTTGTGTAGTTTAAACATATATAAAAAATGACTCACAAAACTCTCATTTTATTTTCTCCAGGTTTGTTAACTAAATTTGTTTTATTTCCTAAACTGAGCTCAGTCTCTCAATATTACTGCATTAAACAGCTAAATTACAGTATTTGATAGCGGTTTCTCCTTTTTGCTAAAATATGTAAGTGTAGAATAATCTATCATTTATATAATTTAATGGATATGATCAAAATCTAGAGGATGATCCAACAGCAAAAGGCAAATATAACATTTTTTTCTGACTTCTCAAATTGTTATTCTCCCGTTTCTAACTATGTAACTTTTCAGTTTTTCCTTTCAATGACTACATAAAGAAATGAAAGAAAAGAAATTGAGAGTATTCTTATAAAAGTGTGACTGGAAGCTAAAGTTACACTTCAAAGCACCCCAGTTCCTTCTCAGGTGGTGCTAAGGACCTGAGCTTAGACTTGGAAAGCACTGGCTTGTCTTTGAAGCACCACCAGTAGAAAAGCTGGCAACAGACACTTCAAAAATTTTTTTTCTTTATTTTATTTTCCTTATTTCTTGCAGTTCAGCTAAAGCAGTGGGCTATTCTGAAATACAAATTTCTGGAATTCTGAACCAAGAGATGGTTTAACATTTTTTCCCACTCCTCTTTTCTATGGTTTAGTTTTTCTTCATAAAAACAGAAGGTACAGAACAACAACAAGAGTAGCTGAAGTAGGGATCACAGAGTTGGTATTCCTTTGCTGCTTACACTCTGTGGTTTATTAATTTAAGAAAAAAAGCACAAAGCAAAGCAAAACAAGCACAAAATGCGGATGTATATTTTTGTTATTATTAAGTGTTAAAACTAAAACCAAGGAAAACACTGAGTCTCCAAAGTCATTTAGTATAATGTAGTATAATGATGAAAATATGCACCTATATACCCATTACACAGTGAAAGTGCAAAAAAAAAAAAAATTTTACTCTGCCCATTTTAGAGAAAATTTTAGCTCTGAAGTGCCACTACACTGGTTTATTTTCCCTTGGGTAGATGCATTACTCCAAATACATGTTCTCAGATTCTGATATTCCTAGCTGTAAATTGCTGGAACAAGAAAACACAACAAATGTACTTACATCATGATACGACCTAGCTGTAATATCATACAGGTTTATTTTATAATTCTATCATTCTTCTAATTTTGATTTTTCTTTTCTTTTCAAGATGGCCAATGTACCAACACAAAAGGCTAATAACCGAAATGTGTGTGTGTGTGTGTATGTGCAAATAACCGAAATGACACATCATATTTCTTCATCAAAAAAAAAGTTTGAAGGAGCAAAAGAATGAAGCAAAGGACATAGGATAAAGGAACAATAAAGAAGCAAAAGCAAAAGGAACAAAATTATCTTTCTCACTGACATGGGGAAAATCTTAATCCAAAAAAAGTTATAAAAACTTTTGGTGTTACATGTATTTGAAAATGTCAATGTATATATAAATAATAGTACTTCGCATTAATATTGTACTTTACAGTCATTTAATCATCCTCAGTTTCCTGTGAGATATGACATTATTCACCTTTGTAGTCAGGAAACTAAGAAATTAAGCCAGAGATCAACTTATATGTTCAAGATCCATAATCACATACTAAAATCTGTAACGGAATTCAGAAGAAGAGCAAACTCCTTAAGGCTGATGCTATAGATGAATATAATTCATCCTTTACCCTCCACTGGATACTTGAGTATTATCCAGTGTAATACCTCCTATCAATTTCTTAGAGAAACCACCTTTGCATATAGATTGCTAATCTAATAGAAAGTTTTTAAACTACAGTAAAAGGAAAGAAATACTAAACTTATGAGAAGCAGAAAGAAACAGTAGCTATTCAGTTATCAGCAGTTTAGTGGTAAATTGGGAGAATGTCTGAAGGTGATTATGCAGGGGATTGCAGACTGTCCTAGGTCTAGTGCTTTTCATTAGCAACAAGACTGATCTAAAAATCAATAGGCTTGCAAGGCTACAGACAAAAACAAATCTTGAAGAACTTTAATGTACTAGAGGAAGGAATTGAAGTTAATTCTGGAGAGGTATTAGCACAAAAAAAAGCATCTTTTCCACCAGACACATGTATAAGGGGCTGCATTTAAGCAAGGCTAATCAAATGCTCAAGTAAAGAATAAGGAAAAACGTCTTAAAACAAACATTCTGAGAGATGAAGGGCTTATAAAAAGTATGTAAGAGTAAGTAAAAAAAATTGAATGAACACCACAATGGATTATAGACATGGAAGCATAACATGGCAATACCTCAAGTGAGGGTACTAGTTTAGCCCTTCACAGAAGATGAGAATCCTCCAGAACAGCAACGAGAATGATGAGAGTTGATAAAACATTGCTCATGAAAGAAGAATATTAAGTTGTTTAGTCTTGAGTACTGTACAATGTCTTTAGTGTAGTGTCTCAGAAAGGTCTTAGGACCCCTCCTAGGAAGGCTGAAGATAAGGGTTGCAAAATAATGCAAACCTTTTGAATCAAAGACAAATATCTGTAACTACACATCCTGTTTAGAAGAGACCTTCCTTCCCCTCCTCCTCTCTCAAAGGTCAAACAAAAGAAAAAACATGAATTACTGAGAGGATAACTCATAGATTCTAGTTTTAGGTAAGAAAGGTCATGAGATTTTGAACTAATACAGAAGTTACCCTGATAAAATTTGAAATACAGCATCCAGGCTGCCTAACTTTGCATAGCTAATAAAAAAGGAATTCAGTCATAGAAAAGTACAGAAGCCTACAGAAACATAAAATGATCTATAAGCTTCATTTTTTTTGCCTTTACATTTTCATATGCTATATTCTTGTATTTTATTGAAAAAAAAAAAGACCTTCTCTGTATCTTCATCAATAGAGAGCATTAATAACATTGTAACAGTTACACTTGCCCCTATAAAAACGCTCAGAGTAATACAGAATAAATACATCTATAGATACATTTTTATTTAAAAAAAATCAAAAAAATCCATGTAATCCAAATAGATCCCCTTATCTAGTATACTTACATAATCAAAAAGGTATGCATTTAGTGCTCCTGTTCCATCGACCAGAGTAAACTTCATAATAAAAACATACTGGAGTGGCACAATACCTAAAACTGAAGAAAAAAAATCTGCTTCATATACAGAATATACACAACAAACCATAACAACTCAAGCTGACAATATCCCTCCTGTAACGGTAACTTTAAACCTTAAATTTAAAGTATAAATTATTAGATCAAGACTAGGTATCAAAATATGGTTCACATTTTGATTTGTGTTTGAATGTGAACTGCAACTAGACCATAAACCTTTTTTTCTCTAAAAAAAAAAAAAAAGAAAAAAAAAAAGAAAAAAAAAAAAGGAAAAATGAGGCTATGAAGATACAGGGCTTTTTTTTTGGATAAACATCACAGAATCACAAAATGATTGAGATTGGAAGGGACCTCTAGAGATCACCTATTTTTCCTGAACATGTGAACTGGTACCATAGCTTTGAGGTCCATCTTCCCTCCATCAATTGAACACACTCACTAACAAAAGCAACACACGGGACACACAGAGCAAAACATTTGTATACACCTTTTATTCAAATACTACTACTTTCAGATTCTTTGTAATATGCTTTGTATAAGGCCTACAGAAGATAAAAACCAAACTAGTACTCATGGTTAAACAAGATTTTCAGATTTCCTTTAACATTTAAACTGTGACTTCAAAAGAAAAAGCTCTTACTTCTGGCGCTGCATCCATCCAAAAGGAACTACTTTGTATATATTCTTATGAATCAAGGCACAAAAATATTTTGGGACATAAATCTGTCAGCTAACCTTCTGCTATTTCAGTTGGTTCCCATGATGGTCGTTGCTCTGCTGCAAGGGTACTTAGGTTCTTGATGGTCTTTGGAGTTGAGCACTGCTTGCACCTAGCATTCAAAACAAAATACTGAGACTACTGAAACACTTAAGTCCTTATATTAGTAATATTCTGCATATAAAAAAATCTTTCAGATTTCTCAATGGGAGTGAGCAATGCTGTTTAAAAGATTTATTTTTAAGCACTCAGAAGCTTTAGAGTACAAAAATCTAATGCTGCTTATGAATTATCACTAACAGACAAATCATTTGGGGCTGGAAAAGGCTACATCGTTGAAAAGAAAGGAAGAACAACTGTACATCAATACATGGCTAAATACAAGTATGCTGACACTTTATTTAACAGCACACATAACGCATCCGTTTGTCATAGTGGAAGTATATGAAGTTGTAGTATGCACTAAAACATAGCAGAGTTAGCACAGGAACTCAGCTTCACCTATAGTCAAACATATTTTAAGTACTAGTTATTAAAACAACTTTTTCTTTCTAGCACTGGAGTACTTATGTATAGTTATAAACTTTATACATTGTGAGATAGTAAGTAAAGGCTGCAGGTAAGTAAAAAATACCAGAAGAGCCGTTTTCAAAGTTGTTTTCATCTGCCCCAGGAAAAAAAACTAGAACACTACTATTTTTTTTCCAAAGTAAGCTTCTGTGCCAGTATATCATAGTTTGAATTTAAAACAGACAGGTATTGTCCTTTTAAGTTATAAGTAAAGCATGTCATACAAAAATCGGTAGTCCTAATTCTACTCACAAGTGAAAGCCCAAAACTAACAAGCAAAGCTTGGCTTTAGATTTTTATATTATTATAAAGAAAAACATATGTATCTAAATGCAAAACCTCAAGGCAAATAATCACGTTGCTTAAGTACCTATTTAGTCTATCTGATAGACTACACCAAACTAATAGTACCAAATTTTAAGCAGAATATCACAAAATAATTCCACATTAGAGATTTGAGCTCATTCTTAAAGCAAAACAATTTGCATTTTAGTTCTACTACAAATAATCTTTAGTTACAAAATATATGCAATTGGTAAAAGCAGTATGCAGGACAAGGTTCCGAAATCCCAACATCCTTTTCAAGTTCTTTTCTAAACTTGCTATCCTGTAAGGAGCTATTCCACTCATGGAATATCATATGGAGTACTGGCATTTACAATACAGCCCTTTGAGGAAGGAATAATCTCTGAAGATGAACTGTGAGTAGCTGGGGAAATATATGCATTATGAAAGCACAAGGGGAAATACATTGTCCTGTAAAGATCCACTCCCAGCAGGAATTCCCATATATTGCCTTTATTTCAAAAAGCCATAGACAGCTGTATCTGCAAAGGTCAAGACAATATATGAAAACCAGAAATACTTATCTGTAATTCATTTTCTCAGGACCTTATAAGAAACTTTAGTGTTCAGTAAAATATGCAATACAGTGCTGCACAGAGAAAAATTTACTACAGGACTGGAAACAGTGCAATAAAGCGAACTAATTAAAACTCTGGAGATGGAGGACTCCATAGCTTACCTGAAGCAGACTAATATTTCTGAGTTTGGAAACTGCATGTTACTGTGCTGTACTGGGAAAACATATTGATGTTGGCTCTCAAAGAGCAGAAATTTCTAACACGGTATTGCACAGCACAGACGCCAAATACACCTGGGCATATCGTATGTCACAGGTCTGAAAATTCAGAGGTCAGATTCTCCCTCTCCTCTTCCCTTTTTAAAATGTATTATTTATCTATTTTCTACAGTGACTGGCATCCACAAAGAGGTTAAGCATTTTGCAGTGTTGTGGATCTCAATAAACGTCAAATAGTGAGGAAAAATCTCTTTAAAAATCTTAATCTTCTTTCAAAACCCTATTTTGCTCATCACTAGGAACAGAGGAGAGAACGACATTTGGATTGATACCCTGAAATTATTTTGTGGGCCTCTATTTAAGCAAGAACCTTGGGGGGGAGTGGGGGGGGGGGGGGGGRGGGGGAAAAGMCCCCCACAGGTTTACACTTCAAATACACTTCAAATGAAGAAATGTTTCAGTTTAATTCTATAATTCTAAAGAACAAGGCCAGCCATATAGAACAGGGAAATATAGGCTAGGAGCAAGAGATTTAGGCTTCTTGTAACCTAAAAATAAATAAATTAAATAAATAAATAAATAGATAGATAGATAGAAGACAAATCCTAACTGTAGTCCAGCAGCAAGGATCCTTTGATATGAGGTATGACAGGCATTTCATGCCTGCTCTTACTACTGCTATTTGTTCTATGTATTTTGCATCATAGGATCTTGGAATAGTTATACCTTGATTACTGTCATTTATTATTGAAGTAAAGGATCTCTATTTAGTATTGAAACCATATAAACAAGTATTTTTAACCTACCCATAATATTTTACACTCCCCTGTAAAAGAAAAGGAGCAGAAAGATCTAATAATGCAAGATCATCTTCAGAGGATCTCACAGGAATAACACATTTAAATCTTCTTGAAAGCTTCCAGATTTCTTTTAGTGTTCCACCTATTAAAAACAGAAAAAGTTTTTAAGTTGCATCCAAGAGTAAATTGAACACATTTCATTTCTCGGGTACCTCAATGACAATTTTTGGGCCTTCAATAACAAAAATTATGAAAACAGAAAAAAATATCCTTCACTTTCTGACCCTTAGCACCAGAATCAACATAGAACCAAAGACTGCCAATTATCACAGCACTTACTTTAATGTCTTTCCAACAGTTATAATTACCAAGATATATATTTAATTAGCACTATCGTGCTAATTAGCATTATTATGCTAATTTAAATAATATGCAATTATCATATTCATTATGATTTTACTAGTTGTTTCTTTTTTTCAAAAAATAAAGAATACAGTGATTTGGTACATTTTTTTCTCAAAAGATCTGTTATTCATTTTTTAACCAATAGCTAAGAAAAAAATCATTACAATTAACATTAAATGCAGAAATATAAACGTGATACGAATTTAGGATCCATGGTTAAGAATATGGTAGAAATATTAAGACTGGAACCATTGGATTTTCCAACTCTAATGACAGGAAAAACCTCTGTAAAATTTATTATAGATAATACATCTACAGTAAGTTACCATGTCTTCAACCTCTGTTGTATGGACTGCAGAACTGATTATAGAATCTGTTCAACATTTTACCAGTTCAGTGGAAATGTAGTAAATTTATTAAAAGTTAGAAATAGTTTTCGATTGAAAACAACAACTTGATAAAAATAAATGATTTAATCAGCTCATGAACAACAGATATTAGAAAAAAAAGGAAAAATTTTTAAATAAATATTTTATATGATGATTGCATTGCTTACCACTAACTATAATTAAGATATTTCAAAAACCTTTAAGACAGTATGGCACTGGGCTGTAAAATATGCATTATACTTATTCATTACTTGTCTAGTAGAAATAATCAGAGAAGAAAATGAAATGAATAAAGCTGCATTATCACTGGTGTTGTAAAAACACACTACTGTAAAATCTTTTTAATAAAGTTACCTTCTAATGATTAAAAAGAAAAAGCAAATAAATGAAATAGCATAAATGTTTGAAATGCATTCTCAAAGTCAGAAAATAAACATCCTCCAAGCCTACTGACTCAAGCAGTTCTGAAATCTCATTTAAGAAACTAAGAAACTAAATCCAGGGCAGCCTGCGCTATAGCATTTCTAAAACACTTGCAGAATTTCAATGTAGTCACAATAAAGTCACACCTAGAGAATGTATTCCTGTTCCCAAGAAATCAGCATAAAGTGTACAGAATTATCAGTGGTTAACTGTGATGTGAATCAGAGGGATTTTACATGAAAGAAAACCAAATATATGCAATATATTCTACTTGTTAGCTGTGACATTTCCTTTTCCTCAGCACAAGTCATCTGTAGAAACCATTATGGGTCCCCCTCATCCCCTCATGTAGGGTCACCTAAAAAATCTGTCCTTTAAGTCTTCCATTTCAACCCTACAGAGTCCAAGGATTCAGGATGAATCTATTTATTCAGCATAATGAATACGGAGAAGAATATAGCTTCGGTTGTAAACAGCAATTTGCTTGTATTAGCAAATAAAAGCAGTTTCTAGATCACATCACTAACAACTGCCATAATGCATTCCCTTTTCTTTCTTTTGTTTTCAGAAAGATAAGATTATACTGAAAACTCATTTTCAGTAGGTCAGAAATCAGGCAGATGTGAGAATCAAAAACAAACAAATAAAAAACCCCAGAAGTTTTGTCATTGATCCTAATGCAAAGGACCAACTGACTGACTTCTGTTTATTCATCACAACGTTCGAGTACCACTGAGGACCTTGCTTTAAACTCAGAATAGTATTATGTGTAATTATTTATTAATCTCGTTCCATTCAAAAACTTTTCTTATTTGTAGCCTTACTTAAACTGCTTTGTTTAATGTTTGATGGCTCTTTCTCTGCCTGAGGCAAACATAACAGGAGGGAGAAAAAAAAAAAAAAAAACAGCAAGCTGTAGGAAGGTTTATTTATCTGAAACAACACTGACATCCAGAGGCTGGCAAAGTTCCTTGTACCTTGCATTATCCAACGCCTTCCAAATTTCCAAACCTTTCTTGTAAAAATACTAGAGTTTAGCCAAATAAGAACTGAGGAAAAAAAAAAAAAAAAGAAAAAAACCCAATACAGTAGGCACAGATGGAAAAAAAAAACATACTCAGATTTGAGTTGCAATTGAACTAACAATAATCTTGACTGTGGTAGATGACTTCCTGTTCACATAAAATTCCAGCTAAGTTTTTTTTTTTCTTTGAAGTTGCCTTTATGATCATCATTGTTTGTACTGAATATAAAGCAGAATGGACTCTGTGCCACAGAAAGTGGTATACTTGCAGTTGTTTATTTTACCTTCTATCATAAGCAAAGTATCTTCTGGCTCTTGAAGCATTTCATCATGTTTTACAAAATGTATAGCTATTTTCCTTTGGTTCTGATCTTGTGTAGTCCACATCACAGAATCATACCAGGATGTATTGTGTAATTCTGGGTTTGGGGCAGTAGCTGCAGATTCTTGTAAAATTAAGTTGAGGTCATCTCCATTTGGAATTTCTTTCCTGAAAACATGTCCAAAATGAGTAAGTAAATAATAACAGCTTTCGTAACGACATCTCTGAATCAAGAAGGCAAAATTCTGGATAAATACTACAAATAAGAGCAAGAGAAATAAAACATACACAGGAAAAATAACTTTGCTATCTTTGTTGAATCAGCGTATGAATTAAGGGCTGTATATCTCCTGTGTGGATGTGTCATGTAAATTAAATTAAGAGAATTCAGCCCATGTTATCACACATGCCAAGTAATCCAATATTACTTGGCAGCAGTGCCAGCTTAGTAACTTCATTCACATGTATGTAAATCAATGAAAATGAAACAAATCAGTTTTACTGGATTTCAAATGGACTGTAAAAAAGTACAACTGTATAGTACTTTATGAGATTGAATGTATAAGCCCATATAAATTTAAAATTTAAGTTCTAGGCTATTTCATTTTGCCTATTATGAAGGGGAAAAAAAGTAGTAGAATCAGAATAGCTTCACACCCAGACTTTAAAGGGAAAATCTACAACTGTGCATCACGCCATCTCCTTCCTGTCTGTGTACAGTAAGACAATAAAGCTTCTCCCCTCTATGGAAGAGCAGCACAGGCCAGCCAAGTCTTATGAATATTATCAACAGCAGGCAAAAAGCCAGAAGCTGGCACATCAGTTTTAACCACTGAAGTATTTTAGATCATTTTCTCCTATGCAAGACAGTCCTGCAGGATTCAGGTGGGATATGAACTGTGACAAAAAACAGAATAACTGAGAAAAAAAAAAAAAAGTTGAAGCTTGAGCTACTTTATAAAACACTAAAAAAAAAGTAGGTGGTAAATTCTACAGTGGATTTAAGGAGGAAATAAGAGTAATAATTCCTGAAGCATATTTTCAAGATCACTCTGTCCTCAAAACAGCTACTTTTAGCAGTGAATGGGATAATTCCTGCCAATGAAACTTAATTCCGATATTCTTCTGCTAGAGCTGCAAAATTAGCATACAAGAAGTCTTGCTGAAACTACATTTTCTTTTCATGAATGCAATGCCATTCACATAAGCTCTTTCTACCATATATACAAAAGCAATAGATGCAACATAATAGGTCATCTTCCCATTTAACTCTTCCAGGCTCCAAAATCTGCCTGTAGAATCCACACACAGCAAGTAGCAGAGGCAAGAATGCAATTAATGTTTTGAATCAAACTAAGCACCATGGTTATAACCTGTTCAGTATGGGCACACGAATAAAACTAGGTCCATCTGTACTGATATTCTGCTATTTACAGAGAACCTCTCACTCTAAGCACAGGAGACAAAAATACACATATCTCTTATGAGAATATGTGAATCTTAACGCACTGGGTATTAAAAGACTAAAACTTTGCAAAACTTTGTTCAGCCAAATTCTACAACATATGCTAAAATAGGAAATAACTTATCTTTCTCCCCTGACAGAATATGTAGTAATTTTTTGGGGAATCCTTCTCTTAATTAATCCCTTAATTTACTCAACCCAGGCTGCAGTACAGTTCCACTATATTACACCAATTCCTTCCACATAATCAACAGCGTTGAAAAAAAGAGGAGCTAAATTTACAGAAAAGTGCTGCAAATAGTCCTGTCATCGAAGTGGGATAGTAGAATGACAACGAAGAAATACGCTAATTGAAGCTTTACAAACTTTAAAATCTGTCCTAATTCTATAGCCAAGACAAGGGAGCAAAATGTGAACTAGGAAGAGACTCAAAAGAAGTGAAAAATATGACAAGGGAAAAACATATATAAAAAGGCTATGAAAGTCAAGGAAAAGTGTGGAGTTGTGATAAAGGTCATAAGAAACATACAAATTTCTATCAGTAGACTCTTTTCACCATACACATTAGGCAAATACATTGAAGAAGAAACACAAGTGCAGGGACGGTTCATCATTATGTGCCTTTTGCATTTGATAGGAAAGTCCATGCATGTACGGTAGTAAAGTCACTTGCATTTTATGAAGATAATGAAGCAGTTTCTCATTATGTTAATATCTAAAAAATATTATAATGACATGTGCTATGGAAAAATACTTCTAAAGCAGCAAGCATGATAGTTTGTATCCAAGACCTTTAAGAGAAAGTTAGTATGGTCATTTTCTTATCTTAATGATGTATCTAGGAAAACTTTTGATTATGTGAGAAATTCCCAAAGGCTAGGAGAATGTGAATGAACTTGCCATGCTGTAAAAACAGCAGTTTACACCAACAACTACAAAACTGCTAGTGCAACAACAGCCCTAAGCAAAACCAGTCAGAGGGGAGAAGAAAAAAAAAAAAAAGTGGAATTGTATTTTGATGATCATGAATAGCAGTATAATTCACGTCACTCAATACTTTCATTGAAAACAGGCCATGTCAAACAAATTTACTTTCATTTTTTGATGAGAATACAGAGTTAATATTTATAACTCACAACAGATTTTTTTAGTAAGATTATTTGACTGAGAAGTATATGATCCAATGACAATATAGAATTACAGGTAAAATAACAATATATTGGAATGAACTGAGTTGGTCAGAAAAAAGGACCAAACTAAGAAGATGACCTGTATTTCTCCAATATATTTGAATCAAGATGAAATACTTTCCCTGGAAGGTGCACTTTAGTCAAAGTTATTTTACTCTTCAAGACCATAAATTGGGAGACCATAAGACCTCTTCTCATATTTAGAAAGGCATTATGGAAACATATTTACATAGATCTTCAGTACGGAAATAACAAAGGGTTTGGAAGCATTGAAAAGAATCCTGAAAGCATCACCCATTTCACTGATTTCAAATGTTGCTACCTGATATCAGTGTACCTCAAACCTTTGCTTGAAATGAGAATACATAGAAAGGATGCAAATACACTGCAAATCTAAACATTTTAAAACACACAGAATAATTTCTAAATTATTGCATAAAGCACTTACAAAGAATTGCATTTGGAACAATGAAGTTTAACAGACTGATGGAGCTTCTGAGGTTTAAAAGTTCTCAGCTTTGCTCTAATGCGGTACTGTTGAGGAGCAGGGCTGTTCAGAATAGTTCTCAGTCCTGTGTTATTCAAATCCTGATGATCTGTTAATACTGTAGAACAAAAAGACCCCATGTACCCTATTAAAATACATGGAATTTGAGGAACAGATATTACAGGCGCACAATTAAAGCGTTTTCTCTTGTCCTCTTTTTCTCTCCAACCCTTGAACAACTTACCTTAAATCCTACAATTATGGCATCACAATGCCCTGATTTCACCATCAGGTGAGATATACAAATATAAATAGTCCCTTTTTTCCACAGGAGTAATTTCTGAGTGCACAGAACAGCAAGATGATCAGGAGGTCACAGTCAAACACACGTCATGATCCTATGCTAAAATGCTACGCTCACCTTGTAAGCCTTGCTACAGACCAAGTATGAAAATAACATAAGAAAAAAAACCCTGCTCTTATAAAACTAGCCTGTCTTCTTTAGTTACAACTGGCATTTTGGTAACTCAGCTAGTAGCTACCATGCAAATTAAGTTACTACCAAGTTAGATTTGCACGCAATGGGTAAAATGAAATGGTCACGCAAAATATTTGAACCATTTCTGTTTGCTTTTCTGAAATGGGCTGCAATATCAACTATTAAATAACTAAAAGAAAATCCTGAAGACTATACACAATTGCAGTCTTAATTTCATCAATATAGATTACCACAGCCTTTTAGAAAAGCCACAACAGGCTGTAGGAACAATGTGTATTTGACAGTATGGGAATTTAACATTCTGAAAAAAAAAAAAAAGTACAATATATAAAGATATTTTATTCCTTAAAAAATGGAGTGAAAACAATTCAACATTCATAAACTTAGAATCATAGATGATAAAATAGATCTTACTATGACTTCAATCCTTTTGAGTTCATGACAAAATCTTTTCTTGTTCTGCAATAAAAATAAATAAAACTCATCTTAAGATCAATGCTTCTTACCTGTTACTGATAATTGCTGACATCTCTGTAAGTGGGACTGAAAATCTAAAAATCAAGAAGAATTTTCTAATTATTTTACTTCTTTATCATACAGACACACGAAAATGCATATGTGTACTAAAAGAAGTTATGCATAAGACAGTGTAAATCCTAATGATGTAGGGAAATAATGTAACAAGAGAAAAGAAAGCAAATGGGAAAAATAAATATGTTAAAAGCTCACACATTTGAGGAAAAATTACTGCATGTATTACATGGCATTCCCATTCAAAATGAACACTTACTCATGGTTGCTGTTTATCTAAACTACATTCACTCTCAGCAAGCAGCCTTCCTGGTTAATAAGGTAAATACATTACTTAAGGTTATCTCCCAGGTCTTTCAGTATAACAAATATCAGTTGCAAGTACCTTTATTCATATAAAATGGCACGCGTCATAGCTTTAAGTTTGATTTCACAGACCTGCACCCAGCACAGACTAGTACAACTATCAACTCCAAAAGGAGTCTAGTGAATTTTTCAGAACCTAATCGATTTTCTTACCCCTGAATATTTTTCATTTCATACATCTTGTAGTCCAGACAGCTTTCACAGACAGGCCTCTCTGTCTGTGAAGTAATGCCATATAGCCCAGTATATAAGATTTCTCTGAAGGAAGAGCTTTCTGTTAATTACCAGAACATTTGTTCTTTTCATTAGCAGAAGCTGTGGACACTAACTCTAGGAATAATTAATGCATCACTGATGTAGTTTTTGCTCTCATTCAAAGGTCACAAATTAGTATAATTTCTTCAACGAAGCAAGTACTTTGTGAAAATTAAAAGAAATCTTGGATGCCTTCTCTGGGTCTGTATTCATTCGAGTATCTTGTCATTGCAGTACAAACTGTGAGCTGTCAGGATCTTCTAAATATTTGTTTTCCTATGGCATTCTATTCACTACAAAAAGAACTTGTTGTGTGAGATAGTAATTTAAAATGTATTTTGTAGGTTGATCCAAAATTTACTCTAAGTATCTTCCTTCAGGCAATATTAAAAAAAAAAACCAAAAACAATAACAAGAAGTACAGCAGTTCTTAAAATCACGTAATCTGAAAACATAAATTTTACCCTACAAAAAGGCAGGGTTTTGACTAATGCAAGATTTATGAATTAGTTTCCAAAATAAAAAAGAAATAACATGGTATGAATAGAAAACAGAACTGAATCTAGAACTACATTTTTTCAAAGCAGAGGTGCAGACCATTATTTTGTTACTATTCCCACCACTTACCATAGAAAATGGGTAGTTTTTTCTTGAGTAGGCTTTCTTAAGCCAGAATTCTGATTTTATCAAGAATCTTTTTTTTTTTTTAACTGAAGCCTTCTTAATCATCAACATAAGACAATAAATAGTCCTCAAGTGTTTCCTTGCTTTTTATTACTGTTATTCCAGTGCCTAAAAGCACACATTAAAGACTCCCATTATATGTTCTGTTCTCTATGCAGACAGAGCAGAAAACGTGCCAAAAAGTTTAGCACCTAGATGCTAATACCTCTACAGATACTGTAAAATCAGCTTCTTAAATATCATTAGAGGATTTTTTTCAGGCAAAAGAAGGGACTAAGATTGATACAGCTTTTATCTCGTAAATGGCCCGTGAGTTACTATTTTTCCATTGCACTGCCCCTCACTCCGCCATTATAACATCATTACATCCAATCGCTTCAGAAGAGTTCCACAGCAAGCAGCTGTATGGAGTTTTCAGTGCCTGTGTTCAAGGAATCTTCCTTTAGACATAGGGAGCTTCATGACTCTGTGCTGTGATCTAATATAGTATAATCAAGAATAAAGTTTGTGGTTAAAATTTTATTCATTGCCTTTTATGAAAAAGTTTTTATCTGTAAGAAAGGATTCCATTGTGAAAAAAAAGGATAATACTAGATTTCTGTCCAATAATCCATAGGAATTCTGAAATGCTTTTCATGAGAGAATAACATTACACATCATCTTCAGAGAAGCAATAAACATATCCAGATCTTGACTATATTTAAATACATGTTAGAAGAAAGAAAAATCAGTTTTCAATTGCTCTTACCTCCAACATTGCAAAAAATGCCCTCTAATTCCACTGAAGACATGCTTTCCAAATTCTGGCTGCCTGCCAGATCCACAGATTCTAAAAATCTAAAAGTAAATCGATGAATGGATGAAATATCATAAAACTTGTGAAATGTCTCACTAACTCCACCCCAAAATCTTGGTTACTAATATACAGGTATAATACTCAGACAAAATAGAATCTCCAGCAGAGATACAAAATTAAATTAAGTCAAAAGTTGCAGGAACTTATATTAATGGTACAAGTGACACACTGATTTCCAAGTCACTTTTGGAACTTTAAACCCAATATAGCGCCAAAAGACACCTGAACTGCTGGAAACTAAAAGTTCTGATAAAAGAAATGATTTTGGTTATTAAGTCATTCCTTAAACACTGAACTTAGTTCAATTAAATGTTTAAACTTCACGCTTCATTTCAAAGAAGTTTTAAGTCTCACAAATTCCAAACAAGACATTTGTACATACTTAACAAAAGCTTAATTCGTTGCTCAACTGAAACTTTTATCTTTAAAACATCTTAAGGATTATATGTCACTATAAAATAGAATAAATATGTTGATGCAGCCAGGTCTTGTTATAAGACAATTAAAACAACAATATTAAACCCTGCTGTATTTTCCACTTGAAAATGGAAAAATGATTTTTCACCTTTTCCACACATCCTTTTCCAAATTTCTGGTTCGTATATACATTTACAATTCTTAAGTCTATACCTGTAACATCAACCTGAAGTTTTCTGGGATAATCTAAAAAAGTATATTTTGAACTCACTCTTTTAGTTCTCTCACATCTTGGTTACTTTCTGGCAAGACTCCTATTCCTCGACCATAACAGGTGCCTCCATGAAGATGGAATTCTACATGTGGTACATCTTGATTGTCAGCACTTGCTTGCTTCGTATGAATACTGTAAATTCTCAGAAAACTTCCAATCTTAAACACGGTGGAGGGAAGGAAAAAACAAACAAAAAAAAGACTTGATAACACAATAACACAGTGTTAGCTATTTCCTTGGAAAATTCTAAGCATCCTAAACCTCCCTCCCAGTCTTCACACAATGGCAAGTCACTGAGGGACCTCTGGAGATGACCCTGGTCAACGCCTCGACTCAAAGTAGGGACAACTAGGAAAGATTGCCTAGGCACATGTCCATGCAGGTTTTGAATCTCTTTTGAATCTCTCAAGGACGGAGAGCCTCTCTGGACAACCTGCCAGTTTGCTTTATCCAATCTCATTACTGGTGGCAAAGGCTGCAGTCAGAACCAGGTTAACTAGAAACATCTCAAGACAACTTAATAATACAGATCAAGAAAGCCAATATACTATTCTCCTGAGGGCATGGTTTATCTTCTGTATTCACAATATGACCCTCCAGAAACTGCTGTGCTGTGATTTGCCCAAGCATGATAGCACTGAGCAGCTGATCTCATGATTCAGCGTATATGTATTTATCTATACACAGCATATTTGTATTTATGTATACCCACAAATGCATCTGCTGAAACACCTTTTTAACTCAACTTACATTCAGACAACAGATAAAACTACTTTGCAGCACTATAACAAAAAGAGAAGACTGTTTAGATCTTCAATAACAGAGTGAGGAATAGGGTTGAAATCTGACTTTTGCCTTGGCTTTTCATCCTGTTTTGCTTAGAATTAATTTCTGCTTTCTGAAACAGTTTTGCCAAATTACACCAATAAACTCGCACAGGTAGCTACTAAAAATCACGATGTGGTGAGAAGTGGTGAATAGATACTTTAATATTCTTCATAACTATACTAAAGAGATGTAATTAAAATCAGCATTGCAAAATATTGAAAAATTCAAGCAGGTTGTGTATGTGAGTCGAGTAACAAATCGACTATGCAAGATGGACTGCAATTTCCAAAAATTCCTTCGGGAGGCAGCATTGCTTATTGTTAACAGCAGCAAGCAAAAGCTATAGCTGCTACAGCTAAAAACGTTACAGCATTTTTGATCAGTTTATTGAATGGCTGGAGGAGCTCTTTAGAGTAATTCTATTTACAAATTACCCATCCTATTCAATTAAGGCAAGTTCATTTAAAATGGAATTAAAATAATAGGCACTCATTTCCGGCAATGCTATAAATATACTAGTTCCTATTTTCAGGTGAATTCAAATATGAATATTTTAAAAAACAGATATTAAGGTTAAAAGACAAAACTAAAGAAATCACACCTACAGCTTCCAGTAAGTAGTTAGAGCTAAAGAGCTAGTAAATTCTCATAATTGCTTCAAAGCAAATGTGGGTTATGTCAAAATTTGTTTAAGACACAAATAGAATATTAAAAGTCATTTGTTACTGGCAGTTTCAGTGGATACTCACAACAAGTTTATCTACAGATATCACGTAAACAAATAAACCTCTACAATTTTTCCTGGCTTTGCAACTGTATTTAAAGCGATTTCTTCATTTTATCATGTGAACAGTCTATTTTGAGTAAATTACGCACAACTGGCAAGTGAGAGAAAGTATTTAAGCATAATCCTTGTATCCAAGGAATAAAAGATAAAAGAAAATTCCAACTTAAATCTATCAACAGATTTGGGGATTTTCTCTTTGTCTTTTTGATAATTATAAGGACGGAAGTGGGGGCGATACAATAGATAGGTGATAACAACACTACCTAGTTCTGAAAAATAAGAAACGAGATACTGTAACCATGCAACTTATGTAACCAGCAGGTTGGAAATGTGACTTGGGCATTAATAAATAGGCAAAACTTAGTCCAAAGCAGCACTGTCAAAAAACATAGAAAAGACATTGAATAGCACAGGAGGCACACAGTGGAAAACATTCAAATTCTGCACCTAAAATATATTTAACAAGGTGTAAACACTCTGAAACTAACGATTAGAACTTGCATGAGTGCTTAAGGTTAATTACTCTTATTGTGTTAACTAAAAAATACATTGTAACACAAAATAATCAACAATAATCACGAGAGGAACTCACAATGCCACATATACAATGTATGACTGTTCAAAAAGGAGATCTCTAGCTTGAGTTCAAACTGTAGCCCTCCTCTCTTAATCACCAATACTTATCACAACACTTACTATCTAACAAAATTCCTCCAGGTAGAGAAAACCATGCCACCCATTCTGGAATTACAAGGTTAAGGTGAATCCTGAGAACCACTGGAAGAGCTGGATTAAGAAAGACACTTAAAATAAAGCAGCAGGTTCACTTTGTTGCTGGAACACAGCGAGAGATAGAGGGAAAAGAGATATTCTGGAAGATGCAGTGAAAACCACTGCCTTTCCTTACTTGTAGCTCTATTTCTTTATGCTCCAGGATATGACCCATTTCCTGTGGATCTGAGATTTCCAAAAACTCTGTATTTTGCTAAAGCAACAAATGCTGAAAAGTAACAATCTTACCCACTGTGAAAGGGAGGCCAGTAAAAATATGTGACAGAAAGTCTACTTAGAGTATCAAATGTAACAAAGCTTTAATATTACTGAAGTTCTGTCGAACACTGTAAATATTAGATGACATGGGAAACTGGATAAATTATACTCATATTCAGTGCCTTTTGGATAGACAACTCAAACAAGGAATTTTTAACAAAACCTTGCAGAAATATTCCTGACACTGCTCTAGGATTTGACATAAATTGACTGTAACAAACTACTCATTATCTCTAGACTGTGCAGTGTTTACTTGGTTTCTTTGACTGAGCATGGTCACATAGATACAATTGTAAAATAAAAGCAAATATTTCTGTTTTCTCAATCTGCACATCTTGATACCAAGGCTGTGTAAAGCAGATTGTTTCTACACCAAAACATAATTTCAAAGCTGCGACTGTTACTGCAAATGGTACAAAACAACACTGGAGAGTGTAACTTAACATTTTATCAGCAATTTACACAGAAATAAAGTTCTAAAGTCCTTTTAAAAAACAGAATGTCTCAAAGAATCATGAACTTGTTTTTGAAACCATAAACTGGCAAAAAACACTGGTACAGTTTCTACTGACACTGTTCTTATGCCTGCACTCAGGAAGATATTCTGTACATACGTTAAACTCCCTCCAGTTTTATGTTTAGGCATAATTTTTTTTTTAATCTTTGTATAATATCTCATTTAGTTCAGGGTTTTGTTAAATAGATTAATAGACTCACAGAGTATTTCAATTACCTTTAGATTATTATGTGAAGTAAAATATAAAACTAATTGCATAAATTACAACCTTACTTTAATAAATCTTCTAGAGTTCAGTTGCTAGGTTATCAGAATTTTTTATTCTATAATTCCACTAAAATACAATCTACCAATTATAGCAACAACTGAAAAGTAGTGGTTAAAAATATTCCTTTTCGTTTAGAATGATCAGTCCTGATGCAGCTTTGAACACAGTGGAAGGAAAAAAACTTGTCTTGCTCAGAAGGTCAAAATGGGTTTCTTAGGTGTTCCTTTTGGCATCAGAGCTTATGTAATAGAGCATCTAGCAAAAGTAAGTGTATAATAGAAGAAACGATATATGAGAAGTTAAAAAAAAAAGAACTGATGGATATGTAACATTAATTAAATTTTCCTTCACTTTCACAATATATTGCTTCACTGAAACATCATCCTTTATTCAATCAACACAAAAGTCAGTTAAGATAGCAATTCTGTGCGAGAAGCTATAAGAAATGAAAGACTTCTGTGAGCACATTTGCTTGTGAAGTTTTACACAAATGCCATCTATTTTATTATTTGATATTCATTTAGGTATATGTATAAATATATCAAATTGATTTTGTGTCTCCTGTTAGTCCCAAACTAACAACTACAAATAAAGTATCAGTAATTTTTATTTTCTGGTAAAGACACAATCTTAAAAGTCATACATGTGAACAGACGACAAGCCATAAAATGAAAGATGGATATTTTTGCTAAATTGCTGTATTCAGAAGCAAGATGGCAGTATTGCTGAAGATCAAATGTTTAATTATGTTGTTGTTCTATCTATGTACGCATAATCAACATTACTGACCCACTAAATGAGGATATGCATTTCAAAATGCCTAAGTTTGTAGCACAGATCATTCATTAACTTCAGACTTGCAGGCATTTAATGGGACTATAAGCTTAATACCAGCTTATATCATTTGAAAGAATAATTTTTAAGCAATAGCATACATTTTCTGTGAGCATTATGTTCACAGGATTATGCACGATGTTACAAAGTCAGGAAAGAGCTGCCTAATTGGAAAGGGTTTTTTTTTCTTGTCGATTTCGGGGTAATGAGACTGTTTCACACATGTTGAAGGAATTCTACATTCAAGTAAAAGGAGGAGGAAGACAGTAAAAAGAAAAAAGTAACATCTGAAATCATTTAACAGCAGAACAGGATTGTTACTTTTCTGAAATGAGTTCTAAATAGAGAGCAGGCCACAGAACACTAACAACACCACAGTATTAAAACTGTGTGTTACCTTAAGGGATTTTGCCACCTGTACATGGTTGTCATAGACAAGAATGTCCACTGTGAGATTTCGCAGCTGATGAAGTAGACCTCTCTCTCCTTCCAAGTCTCTTGATTCCACAGGTACCTTCCACGTTGGGTAGGGGCATTTTGTGCCATCCCAAACCTGCAATGAAAATAAACCACTCCAAAATGCTCAAGAGTCTTCAGGTTGATTGGTTGAAATAACACTTCTTACTCTTCGGTTGCTTGATAAAAATTGCTAGCAACAAAACATCTTGCTTAGGATCTACATTCTAAGTTCCTTAAACTACTCGGATAGATTTTAAGGCACCTTTTTATAATTCTTTACAGAGAATAAAATAACCTCTGTGCAGAATTGCATCAATTGTCAAAAATCAAAACTTGCTAATATTAAAGAAAAAACAGCCCTGTCAAAACATCACCTGCTTCTCCAGTGGATACAATTAAGGAGACTTCGTTGCATGCAGAACTTCATACTTTAAATACCTGAATCTCAGCTGAAGATTTAAAACACTTTAGTTGTAATATGTGCAGACTGAGTACACAGCATACACTCCATTAACTACTGATGATTTCCAGCTTGAGTCTACATTCCTGGTTATGTGGACCATAGCACAAAAGGAAAATTTCACATATACTTAGTGATGAGATTCTACAAAGTGGTTTCTTAGAGCTAAATCACTGACAGATACTTAAGTACTAAAACATAAACAGAACTATTTTTGAGCTACCAAAATTCTGTGGAAAACTAAGATTTCCAGGAGACAAAAAACAGCAGATGCAGTACTTTGATGTGCAGATTTCTGGGGTGCAAACTCCAAACTTTCAGTTATAACTGCTCTGCCAAATTCTCTGTAAACTATGGCTTCATGAGTTTACAATTCCTAAAGATGTGCCTTTCTTAAAGTTAAGAGATATAATGATTTGGAGAACTGATATCAAAAAAGATAGACACAGAGGGATTTGAGACTAAGATTGAAAAGTTGCGTTTCACAAAAATCCATGGATACTGGTCCAATATAAGCTAATTTTTAGACAATTCATGCTGCCAAAATATCTTATTCCATGAATTTGGCACTGCAAAAAACAGTACTACCAAAGGTTACGTTTTTAAGGGGTTTCTACCTTTTCGTGTCATCAGGACAAGCTGAACTGCTGAGGATCAAAGGGTCCACAGTAAAAACAGCAGTGAAGACGTGTAAACACTCTGAGAACAACTCAAGCCGAATTAGAATTAAAAGGGAAAACTGTTGACAGGGAAAAAGGCCCATAACATCAAATTAACTTTCCCAAATACGAGTATATTGTGAAGGGTCTGGATAATGAGGTGGTACATGCTGCCACGGTTTTTAAAAAGCCTGTAAACATGGTATACTTTAAAAACACCTTCGATTGACATGCTGACCATTACCTAACCTTCCAGGCCTTTCCAGAACTAAGAGAAACAGATTTATTCCACTGGCTATATGCTATGAAATCACTATATTTGACAGAAAGAACTGTAAGTTTGTTGAGTTCTCATTATTTTCTAACTAGCTTTACTTGGGAAAATTTGATAGCTCTATACTTAAAATGCCATTTTTTGGAGGAATAAATTGTTGAATTGGGTTGAAGCCAGGACATCTTTTGAAGAAATGTATAAGCCCATAAGTTCTCCTCTGAAGAGGAAAAACACCCTTAGAAAAGTAGCTGGTTTTCTTTTTCACTTGCAAAAACATGAGCACAGATCAAGTTCATTACCTCAAAAACTTACCAGCTTTTATGCAAATTACAGAAGAGATTAAAAAAACAGAGGAACTAATGAGCAATTTACTTACAGTCCACAAAGTTCTGAGGTTTAACAAGGTCTCATCTGACATTCATTTCACAAGAGGCAGTTTAAATTGAAGTATTTGTAACAACTGCAGAGCATATTATAGGGTGACGCTTAACGTTTGTGTAGTACAAACATCATTATGCACAAAAAGAATCTTTGTTACTTCATTAAAGGAATAATGCAATGTATCCTTCCTAACATGCCAAAACAATATGTAGTACTACTAGTACCAATGTAGTTGTACCAAGGAATATTATGTAAGACATGAAATGGAAGAAAAGCTATTCATCACTCAGGTGTTTATGCAATTATGTACATAATAAGTTATCAAGGCTACCTAAAGTTAATCATAAAGGTAATATACTAAATCCATTCATTTGTTTTCCAGTGAAGGCTAGCTGCATTAAACTATAATCTATAGTTAAAAAAAAAAGTTGTTGATCAGAAAAGTTTAAAATCATCAATATTTTTCAGCTTTAAGCCCTGCAAAATCATTTCTGCAAAAACATTTCTGAAACTACATTCCAGAACAATGCCATCTTATAAAACCTTTCTAAAGAAATTAGACAATTTTAAAGAAAACAGGGATTTCTATTTTGTTTCCATAAAATGGTCAAAAAGTACTTATCTTATTCACTTAACATCCAAATATTTATCTACATAATTATTATAAATTAAATTATAATGTAATGAATCAATATGTTTGTTTTATCAAAACAGAATCATAACGTCCTCATACATAAATGATAATACATTATTAAAAAAAGAGGTCTACCTTTAGAAGAAAAGAAGAGCCATCCACTCTTGCTTTCCCTACCAGCTGGCAAGTGAGATCAAAGAACATCATGGGCTGAACACCAGATAATTTCGCTGTGGGTCCGGAGATGGTTAGGTTACTAACTGCCCAGGCACGCAGTTCTTCTATTGTTTTCTGCTCTTCATCTAAGAAGGTGTACAATTTACTGGAGGCTCGAGGAACTATAGGTGCACCTACAGTGCCATCAAATGTCAAGGATGCAAATCCCCCACTAGTAATTCCCTGCATCTGCCCATTGTATTCTCTGATCTGTAATAAAACACAAGGAAAAATATGAATCGCTGCACTGCATCACAATACACATAGATTTCAGTCTTATCACATTCAAAAAGCATGGCACATTGATAATTTTTGTTTGTGGTACTATGAGGGAAAAGAGTCAAATGAGAACAAAACACAAAGAGAAAGCTACCATAATGAAGATGAAGCCAATAAACAAAAAGTATTGCATAATACCAATAATTTCTGAAGAGGCTGACTAATATTTACCTGCAAATACACAGCATTAGTGCAAAGCATTTTATTCACCAATCTCGAAGTATAAAACTGGAGAATGCACCACTATTGCTTCTTTACACATGGGGAAACTGAGACACCAGCAAAAGTTTTTATTTTTAAGGGTCACACAGCAGAGTATTGGTAAAGCAAAGAAATTATTGATTTTTGTTTCTGTATCTCATATAGACTGTAATATTACAGAAGTGGGGAATAAGATATTAATTCTAGGAAATTATTTTTTACCTAGAAGGCAAATAGGGACCAGTTTTCTTCTCCTGAATTATGAACAGAACTTTCAGTATTACTTTTATGTCCACTGCCTTGCACATGGCAGGTCCTTTGTATCCTGCTGATTTAGCAGTGTATCTGCTACCACACAAACCCGTGTGCACACTCCATGGTGTTCCTCCAAGGAACAGGTAGGCTCTTCTTGTTCCCTGTGACATCCACATGAGTTAGGAACCAGAAATCTCAGACCTTGATTTAAACAGCTATTCATGTGCATCCCTTTTTAATTAAAATTTGCTTCCCAGAAAAGGAAGAGGACTTCTTTCTGTATAAGCCAATTATAAGAAACACTAGTCTAAGATTCCCAGGGTTGAGTTTTCAAATCATAAAAATACTACCGATTAAAAAGTACAGAACACAAAAGATGTAACAAGGAAGTTCTAGATAGCAACATTTGACAGAGACATAACCAACACATAATCTTAGTGAATTCATAAGCAAAGTAGTTCAGGTTTGGTAATAAAAAGTCCTTTAGTCTCTGTCACATTAGCATAGGTCTTGCCTAGAGGCATACACGTCTCCAGGATCATCTCTAGGATAACATTTTATGTACTTAAGCATTCTCCAGATCTGACTAATGGATTTTAACCTTTAGATTTAAACTGTGGAAGTACATTTATATTCAGAAAGTACAACAAAAGCTGGTGGAAAAATCAGGAAAGTATACAGTTTTTCATAACAAAGTATTTTGAATTAAGAATTACTCACAATCTGGAAAAAGAATGTTGCAGTGCAAGGGCAAAGCATTATCAGACATAAATGTAAAGTTTTATCTTTGAGCTGCTGTCACTGTCAATACATTCCACGTTTTTGCAAAATTACGTAGCAACCACAGAAGAGGAAAGTCCTTTTATCAATTTTATTTATTCACTTGCATCAAAAGCTACTTGAAGCATATTTTAAGTATCGTCTCACACATCAAAGTGCTTAATTCCAATTGTATCTATTTATTCATTAATTTAATTGCTTCACCAATTTATCTAATTACTCAAAATACTATTACTTTCCATTAAAAATTCTGTTCTTCACCTCCAATAGAGATAGTCATGATGGCTCTTAATTTCCCAGGAAGACAGCTCAAGAAACAACATTGTCTCCCCAGGCTCCCACTATTACTTGACCACAATTTCCTTCGCATTCCAATGCCTTGATGGCATCACATTGCCATCACATATTTTCAGTATTCTTAAGTCTATGTTTGAACATACTGTACCTATTACATTTCCTAGTACCTTCTGATTTGATATCAGCCTGAACATAGGACAAGGCACTTGTAAAATAATAAAGAAAATAAAATATGTAAAGCAGTAAACCATTGGGTCATGGTGAGAAAACGAACCAGCAGTTCCGAAGCACAAAGAAGTTTCCTCAGGGTAAGTAGAGAGGCCAATGAGTGGTCTCAAAGGTAGGCAGAATGCAACAACGTTCTTTAGCAAGCCACAGAATAGAAGAGGATGTACAATGAATTTCAAGGGAAAATATTTCATAAGTGGCAAAGAGAAACATGTCAAAAGCCCACAGAACAGAAGATGTTCAAAGAAACTCTCTCGACTTGTACAAATTGCTGCTACAGTGATGAGGAATCACTAAACTCTTGGGCAAATGTTGCTCCATTACAGCACTCTAAGATCTCAAATCAAGTTAAGCAATGATACTGTAGATTAGTTATATTTTCATACTTAAATGATTTGCAAATTGAATTAACTTTAGGAAAAAGGCTAACTTGAGACTTCTATGTAAGATGAGAATTTCCCCAGTGTTTTTTGTGTAATTACTAGACAGCTATAGTTCATTATTATTGGCGGAGGGAAAATAGCAATAGAGGAAAAAAAACTGAATTGAGTGGGAACAACAAAAAATGTTTGCTAAACACCAATTTTTTTAAGATAAAAAAAAGTAGATAACATGCATTTTCCTTGCAATCAGTAGGCAAGTAGGTTCCAACATAATCTGCAGGAGCCTTTTACTAAGCTTTCTTAAAATAAAAAATTGAAGTTGGATTGCCACTCTAAATTCAATGGAAAAACTTTCTACTGCTTTCAGTTGGAGAGAACTCTTTCCTGCATATACTCATGTCTTGAAATGCTCTATAAATAGATTTACATTAACTTAATACACTTGAATTCTATTTTAGTGAGGCCAGTGTTATACAGCTCACTCGGTGGAAGAGGGAAGTGTGATATTGAGTAAAGCATAAAGCATCTCCAAGGTACCTTTCAATCAAAACTGATTATTAAACTGTAAAGGCAAGTGCAATACAAAGGACTAGTACAAAACTACTGGAATCACAGTTCACCTCAGAATATCTGAAATGCTTTGCAAAGACAATATATAATAGATAGAGATTTCTCGGATAAAAATATTTTCAGATCAGATCCATTTAACAAATATAGTGCAAATAGCTAGAAGGCATGGTTTAAACAAACAAACCAAAAAAGGTCCTGACCACAATCATCAACATTGTTTGAAATACATTGTCTAAATTTGTATTCCAGTCTAGGTATACATTCAGCTCTCACTATAACATATATTCAGCTTTAGCAGTGATGAAAACACACACAATCCCCATTCATGGGGATTCATGGTTGGCAATAAAATAATAAACTAAAATAACAGAAGATCAATGTTCACATTTTGCTACCTACCGTCCTCTTAACTGCAGAATTCTAGTCTATGTGAGATGCCAGTGAAGAGAAAAGAAAGGGTGTGAGATTGCCTGTGGGCAACACATCTTAAGAACTAGTTACTACAGTGAACAATTCTTTCCACCTAGCTAAACACTTGTATACAGATGTATGGCACTATGTGACCCACACAGGGTGCAGCTGACAAAGAAGCAAGATCTCATGATCTTAAACAAAGACAGTGATGGAACAGGGATGGAAACTCCACAAGCTCTCTGAGTTTGTCTGCTTCAGCAACACTCTACTTTCCTAGCGAAGAACCGCCTGCGGAAACGCTCCCTTCGCCACACTAAAACTCATCCTCTCAAGAGCTATAAAGCTTCCCAGAATAAATTACTCCATATTTTGACTGTACTGCATATTTTAAAAGACTTCTGGAAAGTGGGGAAAAATGCCTACACAGCGGCATTTTCAAGTGAAAATTTATACGGACACATACACAGGAACTTGGGATAAATCCACAAAGATAATAAAAAGTACTATGTGTTACAAACTTATTTGTTCCTGTCAACGATGGCTATTAACAAGCTTTCTTCATAGTAAATGTATAAAAATTTTACCTTATGCTAGGTCCTGGGGACCTGGTCACAAAGGTATGTCTTTCAATCCTCTAAAACGCTCACCATTTTCCACAAAGGTTTGCAGGCATTTGCACTGCATTTTAACTGGAAATGTGGTCTAGAATAATTGGAGCACAGTTGATACGAAAAAAAACACAAAGGTATTTCATTGTAAAGACAAAAATTTAGTTTGTTTGACCAGATATTTAGCTTTTTTTATGGGGTTATTACCATCTTATTTTTGGCAGGGCAGCTATCCAACACATAATGTAGAAGCATCTAGGAGGCCCTGGTCCAGTAAAATATGGGTCTAACCTACCTGATCTGAGTCATGCAGCTTTCAAAATTTGGAGGCAACTCATCATAAATACCGCTTACCATTTGAGCACTGATGAATTATACACAAACGTTGCTTTCTCCTACTAAATGCTATTGCAGTGCTTCTGGCAACTTAAATAAGCAACAAAACAGGAGCAGGCTGAAAAGGTGCCTTGGTAAGTAATCATGCTTTTATGTCTCAGACAAGCATTTTGACCAGACTAGGATTTTCCTGAAATCCTTTATGCTATGAAGGGCCTGATAATATAACTCCTAAATGGTCTTTGCTATTAGATGGGGATGCTCCCTTGTATTATGGACTTCTCCAAGAAAAATCCAGGTCCTAGGTCCATTATGTTCTGTGTATCTTGGAGACTGCAGACAAATGAAATAGGCATTTTTCAAAAACCACATTTAAGAATACTGACAGGTAATTTCATCAGTATTTTAAATACACTGTTCCACCATTGCTGATACTCTTCCCAATTTTATTAGAACTTGCATGGAGATAAAAAGAATTCAAGAGGATTATGGCAATTGGAGTTTTTTCTTACTTAACCTCTCCAGACCTGTGAGTATCAGAACTTTATATTTTACAAAACTAATTAGAAAAGTTATATCCTTAAAGTCAAAGACTAGCTCAGACTTATGCAATGAGCTAAGTTTTGAACCTACATAATCTTTTCTTTGCAGAAAAGTCACATGGAGACTACATGTTTCAGGAATGTGTGGGCCCACAGATAAGAAACAGGTTTTTCTTTCATTTGCAGAAGAAACTTCAGCCCTGCAACATATCTCCTTGTTTGTGAGCCTTTTGTGAGGAAAGGCCTGAGGTAAAAACTAACTCTAGCCCAGTGAGAATACATAACCAAAGCTGAACATGGTCTCATTTTTTTCTCTCGCTTCCCTAACCCCCAAACGGGCAGTCGGTGTGGGACAACAATGAAAACCCTTAAAAAAATGCAAAAGAAAAAAAAAAAAAAAAAAAAAAAAAAAAAAAAAAAAAAACCAAACATCAAGTAAATAAAGACTGGAAGACAACAGCCATGAACCCACAACAGAAAATCAGTTATGAGCACGAGCCAGATGAGAAAGCAGGAAACATTTGCTTTCTGTTCTGATATTCATTCAGTGCCTGAGATGAGATACGATGGGAGAGGATAGGGGGAAAAAAATAGGAAAAAGAGAGATGAAGACAAATTCTCTCTGAAAAAGAAAAACAAAGCAAAAATTGCAAAGTGATTTGCACAACCCATGCTGGAATATGCAAACGAACAGAAACACTGATGACACTACAACACAAACAAAAATTATGAAGCTTTCTTGAAATTGTCACTGATTTACTAACTTAACTAACTTATACTGCACAAAAATGATAGACAACAGAACCCAAGACGCGAAACCACACAGCATTCTCAGCTTAACTTCAATTTAGAAGTTTTGGTAGTTGTCACAGATTGTATGGTTATGAAAATAGTCTCCTGTCTCTCCAAAAAATCCCAAATACTTTTGTGATGTTTTCTTATATTTTGTAAGTTTTGTTTTCTCACACTAAGTATACTATACCACAGCCTTCCTAAGTTTGGATAATACATCTTGAGGCTACCTTCTCATATTTGGATGTTAATATTTTAATCATAATATACACATAACTCCGTCAGTATGAATAGAGAAGTGGTAAGAGTAGACAACCAGTTTGAAATAACTCACTAAACAATTTGTGTTGCAATATAAATTACAACATTTTGAACACTGAAACAAGAAGAATGAATTACAAATAATAGCTGAAGGCACCCTCTTATAAAAGTGATAAAATAAGGAAAGTAAAATCTGTACAAAGATTTAAGCTATTATGAGTAAGTATTAAAACTTTCCTTTACCATTTCTGAGACCTGCTGGCATCAAAGCACGAGTGTCAGAAATTTTTGCCCTAATGGATTTCAAAGATGAAAATGAACAGAAAATGCAATAACTATTTTTGTTGACATATATACAAAAGCATGTATGTTCAAATCAGACAAAATAATTTCCCTCTCGATCACTGTTAAACAAAAGAAGGGTGGCGGACCTTTGATATATTCTTGTTAATCAAGAACTGCAATACAGACATTTACAAGAAAAAAAATAAGTTAGCATTCCTGTGCTAAAAATACTATGATTGTTTAGTAAATAATTTTGCTTCCTCTCTTCTGAGCAAGAATCTGAAAACAGGGTCCAAGTATAGCTGTAGGCAACATGTTTTTTCAACAGCCTTTTCAATGGATTCTCCTGCAACTTTGGACAACTTCTTGTTGTTATCCTTATCAGTCAGACAGCTATGGCCAGGAACAAGAATGCAGCAAATAGCTATTTCTTCTCCTGCACTCCTCAGTAGTTTCCATTTTGCAGTAAGCAGCAAGGGAGAGGAAGCAACTCTAATGGGACAAAACTGGACAAGGCTAAGGTAAAAATACACTGATAAAAGAAACCCTGCAGCTGAACACAGAAATCAGAAGAGAATTGTTCCCAGAAGTAATGAAAACATTGGCCTTAAGATTGGGGATAAAAACCTAGTGGGACAAATGCTGTTACTAGGTTGATGAGCGTAATACTCAAGGAGAGAAACAGGATAGGGCTAGTAGCAATAGTGAAAAAAAGAGGATGTGATTGACCCTTCCATGTTTTTATGATGCAAAGCCTCATATGATTAATATTCAGATTCCCAAGTATCAATCTTCTTTGAAAAGGCAAACAGTTTTGAAACTTGCATAAAAAACATTTTATGTTTTCCAAGTGACTTTGGCTATAGAGACAATCACTGCCTACGTCATGGATATAAGAAAGTTTTGCTCAAAGGAGAAGTGTGCTTATATAGGCAATCCGAACATGACAACATGCAAATAACTTGTTTTCTTCCTGCTGCCTTTTTTTGTGTTTGCTCTTCTAAAGATCTATCAGACTGCTCCCAACTACAAAATTAGAACTTTAAAATTACAACAAGCAAGCCTTCAAAAGTTAGTAGGTGCCGCAGCTGTGTACACGCTTGCACATATTGCCTGCGCAAACACATTTCAGCTCATGTTGCATCCATACTATGATACTCTGTTTCATTACCCTATTTTTCCAAAGGATATTCTCCTATTCAATGGCTGCCTCAATGTGTAGTGATGAAACAGAGCTGTGTAATGAAGCAGCCGTCACTGGTAGGTGTCCTGCCTTATTCATTCCAGCAACTGCAGCCTATGTACTGAATAAATTAAAGCACAGAAGTAAAGAAGGACAATAAGATCAAGATTAGTATAATAGAAAGCCAGGGAATTAAGTCTTTGATCTTTGTAATTGCTATGGAAATTGTGTTATACTGAGGAGGTCACATAAGCAAAGTTTATCAAGAGAGGTCACACATTTGCTCCTCACCTTTCAAGAATTCAACTTGAACCCCAGAGGCACCAAGTTGCAGGAGCACTAGACCTCTCACAGATACAGCTGATGTCAATGAATACTACGCTTTCAAAGTGTAGAGTGCTCTATAGGACTATGTATTCTTGATACAAGCTACAATAAAACACATCCTAAGTAGTGACTGTCTAGACAGTGAGCACAAACTGAAACATGGAAAATTCCACTTGAACGCAAAATACTTGTTGTGAGGGTGGTTGAACATTGGAACAGGGTGCCCAGAGAAGCTGTGAGTCTCCATCCTTGGATCAAAACTTGACTGGACATGGTCCTGGAAAATCTGTTCCTGCAAACTTTGCTTAAATAGCGGTGTTGGACAAGATCTCCAGTGGTCCCCTCCAACCCCAACTATTCCATGATTGTACTGGACAACACAGAGAAGAAAATTCTGAACAAGTTGAACACTTAATGCTTTATTTTAATGTCACTTTTCTCTAATTCCTTAAGAGTAAAAATGGAAATCAAGAATATCAATTCACTATACTGGAAGTGAGGATATAAATTCTCATTTGTGAATCACTTAGAGGTAATAATGAATACTAAGGAAAAGTCAAAGAAAAAAAATTAACTTTGACTCATTGTGGCAAGGGTTTGAATAATACAACGGAGGTAGGATAAAAGCCAACATAACAATAAAGACAAAATATTGCAGCCTTGGTCAGTACTGGCAAGATTTCTCTTCTTGCTTTTTTTTAACTTAAGTATTATGCATTAAGCCAAAGATATTAAAAGCTTCCATACTCAACCAGAGAAGCTCCATGAAAACACCATCCTCTAGTACAGTACATGCACATGATTTCCCCAAGAGTTGTCTTTTTGGTTTTAACCTGTTCTTCTCACTTCTCAGAAAGTTCACCAAAAAACTACTCCAGATATGCAATTTTTAAATTCTTCTATTTTGATCACTTTCTACAACTGTTTTTTTTTTTTTTTGCAAGAATTGCAGTAAAACAGACATACTGTAAAATATGCATTTTGATTTCAAAAGAAACGCATTTCTACCTCCATTGAATTTCAGAAATCAGGATATCTGTGAAACATCTATCTCTATTAGATTAGAATATCTAATAGATTCTCTAGTTATCTCTATTAGAGAGAATCTGAAATGTACCATAAGACTTCCTTATTCAAAGTCAAATCAATGAACTTCGAAAACTGACAACAATTGGTTGTGGTAATCAACATGTGCTTCAGAGTCTAAATCTAGTCCAATTTTACTGTAATTACATAATAAGAGGCCTGAAAGCAAGTTTTATATTAATCTTGAATAAGTTAACTAGTTTTCCCTCTGAACTGCAAATACATATACATATAGTACCAATCATATACTTTAAAAAAACTATTTCAGACTATTTCAGAAAGATCTTAACATCTTTCTTAGCAATTTCAATGGGCAATTTTCAATTTCCATTACTGGATAAATCTTAGCACTTTTCAGTTAGTGGCACACTTTCTTCTCTCCTATTATAGACTATCAAAACTGACATGCTCTGTACCATTGATCTTTACCCCTTTCATCAGCATTTCACACACTCCTAAATTGCCTAGAACTCTCAAGAGTACTTACTTCAAGCTTTGTTATTGCTAACTTTTTTTTTTTTTTAAAAAAAAACAGTACTCACCTTTATTCTGTGAAATCGAACAATATCTCCAATTTTGTAAATTTTTGGAAGGGAATCTAAATTTCCACTAAACAGAGTGCAGGTTAACTTTGCATTTGATGGATCCACAACTGTTACAACTGAGCAGTAATCTGAAAAATATAGAATAGTTGATAGAAAAAAGAAAATACAGTGTTTGAATTAGCAATAGGCATTATGGAGTGATTAATAACCACATATTAAAGTTGGGATGAATGGCCATATAGCCATGTTTTTCTGCTATGATCAACGTAACTCTTCCAAAAATCACTTTAATTACAACAGCCTAACGATAGAAGCTTGGTCCTTTGTACACATCATTAGCAGATATAGTTGAAAATGAAAGGGGTGATTAAGCACGAACATGTGACTGAAGAACACACAACTTTAATCTTCTGTGACACACATAGCATTTTTCAAGTTTCTATAAAATCAGAAGGATAGGTAAATGTCCAGTTTTATAATCCTTGAAATTTTTATCTGCCCTGTCTTCTGAAAAGACAGTGAGCTCTGTAAGTTCTAAAAACAAGTGAAAGAATTAATTACTTATCTTTCACTTCACCAAAATGTACAAGCAAGATACAAGCTGCAAAGATGCAGCCACAAAGTAGTACTTTGAAGGTATAGTGAAAATACGAAATGTGCCTTTTTAAAGTTAAAGTTCGGTAACAAATTTTCAATTTAATCAGTAACCTAGAAGATCAACCTGAAAACAAGTACACAGTCATGACAAAGCAAATGACGCAGAATACAGTATATGTATCGTTGTATTTTACAGTTCAGGTTATAGAATTATGTGTGTTCAAATATCTTACAAACATAAAAGGGAATGACAGTGCAAAGTGACAGTGTGGGTAGACTAAGAACAGACCTGTCTAAGAACTTCTCAAATAACCAGCATCAACTTGGCTATACATTTAAAAACAACTGCAAATCCACTCATAGTTACTTTTAAACCTGAAGACAAGGGTGTTTTTCAGATGGATATTTATTATGCTGATTCTTATTCAAACCTAAAGTTCTGAATCACAACTTTTAAACAGATCTGCAGTATTTCTGCAATGACAGTATTTTATTTTCCTCCTCACAATTACTCTCATATACCTCAATAATGATATATTCTAATCTATGGTACTTAGGCACGGTTAAATGTCATTCTTTTGCACATTACTGGAAAAGACTTCAGAAAGGTATCAGATGATCACCTAATCTGCTGCTCTGTGCTTAGATAAACACACATGAAGACAGTGGTTGACCTGGAACTGCACCTATCTACTGTGGCAGTACAAACAGGGGTGGGTTTATTCCACTGGTTATGGATTCAAACTTAAAAAAATAGTGATACAGAGATGTTACCCAAATGAGCAATAAAGAGTAAAAGAGAACCCAGGTAGTCCTTAGATTTATATTCCTGAGAAGACGCGGGATAATACACTACAATGCAGGGATGGTACCCAACATAGAAACCTGAAGTGGAATAACAGAAAAGCTGTGATGCTGTGATTATATAACTTGGTCAGCAGGTTTCATAGCCATGCAGATGCCTATGAAAAGGAGGGAAAATTCAACACTGCCCCTCCATTTTCTGCACAATTAGCATAGTTGAAAAGACCAATTCATGCTAGACAAAGTAGTATAAAGTATTGTGTTTGCTGTATAACCAGAGAGACTCTCCTACACAATATATAGGCTCCCTGTTTCACTGATTATATATTTTCTTCCTCAACTATGACCTCAAAATATCACTTTGATAATAAACCTAATTAAAATGAAGCTCTTCAAGAAGCAGCATAAGGATGATTTTCTATTAAAAAAATTCTCATCCAGCAAGTCTTTTTGAAGGTTAAAAATGAAAAGTCACCAAGAGTTCCTTTTTCAACTGCAATATGAAAATTGCTTTCTGTTCTCCAAAGCAGTATTATAGTTCAGTGATTGAATTCACTTTTCTGCATGGATAAAAAGCATCCAACTATAAACAGCACTCCTGAATTAAAAGAATTTCCCAGTGTTACAAGAAACTATAATATATTATTGCTCAAATATTTTATTCTTTTTAAAGTACACGTTTCCTTAAAGAAAAAATTCTCATTTTTTCAGTTTAGGAAGATAATTTTTTAAAAAATTATGAAAATTTACATATTAAGAATAACTATCCTTTACGAGATAAATTTGTTCCACTGATACTTTTGTAATGAAGAAAAATATTACAGCTGTTTATTTTTACTTGTAAAATTTATCTTACAAATATGACAACAGCTGTACAGCTTAACATATTTACATACTATAAAGAAGTTTTTATGTTTTTAGTCATATTGTCTTGTTCAATATAAAATTTCAAGATTAATAGCCTTTAATGGTTAATGGAGATTTATCTTAATTCCTCCAGCTTCTTCAATGTAAATTGCAATGGAGCTTTATTATAGAGATTAAAGATAGCTATCTTTCCAAATTAAGTCCTTAACAAAAGGAGACAAGACACATAAAATATAACCTGCTAAAATATATAAAAGTATTTTACTTGTATATTGTACAATAGTCAAATTGAAAGTATTTTATAAGGTAATGCATGCAGATCTGAATTAAAACCAAAGTATTGACAACGGTTAGCTAGTAGAATTCTCCTAAACAAATTGTTATGCTCCTTCTTAAACAGTAGCAATAAATTAAGACTTCCATGATTCATTACTTGTCTGGTAAATATATGATCTATATATTTATTTCATGAACAAAACAGTTTTAGAACGGGTAACTTATGTACACTTGCAGTTTTTTCCACAGAATCTAACACTGAGTTCAGTAAACTTTAAGGTCACAGCATTACCTTTTTAGTAACTGAAATTATCTTAAAGTTAAGTAATATTGTTGTAATATTTAAATTTTCACTGAAAAACACTTTTTCATATAAAAGTTTTCCAACACACTGATTTCAGATTCCTGGTTTTAGAGAATGAATACCTAGACAAATTCATCGCTATTGAATTTATTCAAGAAACTGGTATACAAAAGGAAGACCATACAAATGAACAATCATTAAAACAGTAAATTTCTTCTTTGTTCAATTAGAAATACCATCAGGAAAAAATATTTAATATTTCACAGTAAATTTATAAAGATAAGAAAAAACAATTTGCCCTAGATCAAATAACAAATACTACAGTATAATCTAAGGCAGCGGGGATTGCATCTGTCTTTGTGTCTGCCAAACGCTTAGCAAAATGGTGCAGTTTCTAGCAAAATCAGCACAATCCCTAAGCTTTTACCTCACAGACAAAATTAATCATTCAGTTGTTGAACAGCTGCTCTAAGAAACAAGCATGCTGGTATCACATTGACAACACACTGTAACAAGATTCATTGTTACAGTCTCAAGGTAGAATTACAGAGCTACAGAACAATCCCTTCCCACAAGGGACAGTGCAGGACTTCTGTACTTTCAAGTCCCTTCCCCTGTTTGATATTGATGGGATTAGCTTGATAAATACTTTCTTCATCTCCTGTATCCAGTAGTGTGTCTAAACTGAATTAGAGGTCCCTTACCTGTCTATTATTCTGTTCCCTGGATGTTAGGCTAAGAATTGTGGTCAACATCACCAGAATTTTTGTAGTCCTTGTTTTAAACACAATAAACAACAACAGGAATTCTGTTTGACAGAAAGAGATATTAAGTCTTCTTTTGGATTAAATACATACCAGTTCCTTTGCTTACATAAGGAGGCTTGAAGAATTTCACAATTCCATACAAATTCACTACTGTTCCACCTTTAAGATGATTCAGAGGTGTATACACATATTTTGGTGCAACAGACTGGAAAGACATGATAAAATTTGTGAACAGAAAGCAATTTATTCCATCAAACCTTCACCTAAAATTCAGTCCAGACACTCACCATCGAATATATTTAAAATTTTACTATTATTACTATTTTTAGTCTAATTTTTCTAGTCTAGTCTAATTTTTTCTTTCAGGTGTACTGCGTAAGATTTTATCCTACCCATTCTATCTGCTCTGAAGATAAACAGACAGATATGCATACATTTCTCTTGCCACAGACAATGAAGATCTAAGACAAATTTGATTTCCATTTCATTCTGTAATTACTTTCTTGCTATAAACTAAGCAGCCAATTCAACTTAGGCTGAGCATTTCTGTTTAGGTGAATAAAAGTCAAATATGTCATGAAAAATCATGAATAAAGAATGCTGGAAAGTAATTTTTACTGATTCATTTTAACGTCCAAAGGGCTTTTAAAAGTTGTAGCAGTACACAGATAAATGATTTCACAGCATTGTCATTAAACAGAATCTTACACTCATTGTACAATTGCATTGTACAATGTATTTGTGTGTATTAAATAGCACATTCAGAGCACTAAAGAAATTAATTCAAGGTTGCATGATATGCTGATTAACTTCTTTAAAAGCTTAGAAGCTTTTTGTATTAGAAGCTTTTAAAGTCTTATGTGGTTCGAAGATACGTAGAAGATTAACTCACCACAGATGTCATTTCTGAAGCCCTTGTGCTCCTTTTAGTATAAATCTGAGTAGGAATAAAAATGCAAACTCACTGGTACAAATTTGAAGGCAATACAAATATAACAAGATTTGATGATGCTAAAGCAAATATTACAGAGACTCTTTACTTGTCAATTTTTATATCGGAAACAGCAAAAAATAGACCAAATACTTTTGATATCTGGATCAACTGACACTATAAAGAGTAAAATTTTATCCTATGGAAAAAAATACCTATTTACATTATATTTGGGTAACAGTTACCTTAAATAACTTATACATTTTATAAATCAGAAATGTTGCTGGTTGAACATATCAGATTAGTAAAGTCTGTATTAAAATTGTGGCCAAAAATTCCAAGTGTTATTAATGACTTGCTTAAAACAGAATGTAAACAGTTTGAGGTTTTGTCCATTTCAATGCTTAGAATAAGCCTATGCTCAGTGTTGACTCCTGTTCAAAAGGTCAAGCTAATTTCACAACAGAATGGCATAAACTTTCCTCCAAGATTGTTCCCAGGTCTGGCTAGAGCATTGCTGGCTCTAAGAGCTTATCTTCAGGGTAAGAACTTTTTCAGAACAAGCAGAGGTGACTGGACCAAAGCCTTACCCCAACACAAACCCACCCTGGGATGAGAAACTTTGGCCTCTGCAGCCCTACAGATGCAAGAGCCTGTTCTACCCGTCATCCCCATACCAATACATGTTCCCAGAAGAAAAAAAAAAAAAAAAAAAAGTCTAGATCCTTCACTATTCAAACCTCTGTAACTTCTGATAAGTCCTACAACTCTTAAATAAGTATGATTTACATTTAAAAAAGGGTGGTAAATGTTTCTTGACGGTAAAGACCTGACAGTCACAACAAACATGTCGCGCTGTATTACCAGGGACAAATGGAAGCAGTGGGAGAATAGGGTAAATATAACCCCCATATCCCAAAAGACCGAAGAATTTAAAATCAATAGTATTTACATGAAAACAGTACTAAAAAACATATTTTCTTCAGAAAATACGGGATATATCTCACTTAAAAAAAAAACAGGATTCTAGGAATCCATGTATTTAAGCAAAGTATAATGATACAAATCACAAAATCACCATCCCAAGAAAACTAAAATATGATAGACATGAGGTCACTCTTGCACCCTTAGTCTGTCTGCACTGCTGGTGTGTTAAGCACAAATTGACTAAAACAAGTCTAACGGGCTATCAACTGCTATCTAAGGCATATCTAAATTTCTGCACTCAGCATACAGAAACACTTGGAAGGCCAGGGAAATAATCCAGGTCTGGTACCACCCTGAAGCACTCCAGTATTGTATGCTTTGCTATAATGCACTTCTCCTCAGTTATAATCATATATAAAGCTCTCTCGATTTGTCATCTATTGCAGAACATTATACTTGAGGGTGGTCTACTCTCCACAGAATATTCCTCTTATGAGGAAGGATTTTCTCCTCCCTCATCCAGGCCTCTCAAGGTCACAGGACAACACCCATGACTAGAACAACAGGAGAGAGATGGCACTTGCAGCTACATCAAAATGAAAGGAGACAGGTACAATGGGATTGTACACACACAAGCTGCGTAGTTTCCTTATGAATCTGCAAAACTTCAAATTCTACTAGATTTTATTGTTTCTCTTTTCAAAGCAAAGAAAAAAAAGATATTTGGAAAAAAAGAAGATAAATAGAAAGCTGGACACTCACGTACATAAACGGCTGATCCAGCTTCTTCAGACACTTTCAAGTGGTAAGCATGTCTGCCATCTTCTTTAGCTGTAGGTGATTTTGCCACCTTAAATCCAGCAACTACAAAGGTGTCCTATGGAGACAGGGTGATAAAAGCTTTAAAAAAGATGTCGTGTGTGAAAAAAATCACATTTCTGATCATATTTGGTTTGGATTCTTTAACTGCTATTTTCAGGTAAAATTCCATGCCTAAGAAAAGCTGCCTTGACCTTAATAAACAGGTGAACTTATGGAATTTGGGAACTGAGCCTTATTTTTCTGAATAGAGAGCTCAGAGAGAAAAAAAGGAAATGTGTTAGTCTTGCTGTATAGCTTCAGGAATTATCATAAGAAAAGGCTCATGCTCATATAATTTGAGAGTCTGGATATTAATTTTGGTCCCAGAAGTATACAAAAATGAGATTTACAGGTCTGGGGAAATTATAGCATAGAGACATCCTGGTATTTCCTGGAGAGACTTCAAATTCTGATTTTGCCACCTTAAATCCAGCAACTACAAAGGTGTCCTATGGAGACAGGGTGATAAATAAATAACAAACACCATATAACAGATGACAAATACTTTATACAGTATCACACACTCTCTTTTAGAAGAGGATAAGTTCCACTCCAAAGGTGCAAGACATTCAAGAAGAGAAAAAAATATACATGTTCTAAACACTAACACAAAGTTTCTCTAGGTAGTTCCCCTGTCCATGAAATAACACTAGAAATTCTGATATAATGTAAGTATCCTTTGTAGTTTGCTTTTTGGTACCAGGATAGTTCACCAGAGGTATTCCATTATGATCCACTTTTTGCAAAAATATCTTCAACATTCATGCAAACTGTCAGAAAACAAGTTATTTTATATTTGGAGCCTTCTCTCTCCTTGACTCTGTACCAAAAGCACTTCAATAAGCTTTTACTGCATGACTTTTGTTCATGTGTTTATTTGATTACAATAAATAAAAGAGTTTTCTGATTAAAGTTGACAGTTTTAGCCTAATCCTGCAGTACGGTCATTCTTTTTGCTATTTCAGCAATCTGACAACGCTGCTGTAAATGATGTAAGATGCAAAACCTTCACGTTTTGTTCAAGGAAATCTGCTAACTTCGGTGATGATGATATATATAGTTATTAAACAATTTAGCAAAAAATTGCTCTGAAAAACCTAGGTTCAAACAGACAGCTTAATACACAATAAAACTACTTAGAGCTTGCTGATTTTAATATCATAAAAGGAAATATCTCATATTTCAGCTGCCTAAAAGATAATACTCAAGTCATTTAAGATGTACTCTGAACTAAACAAATAAATTAAATTGACTCAAACGACTAGACAATTTAACATGTATTGCATACAAAACACTTCAAATGCAAATCAAAGTTGCTTTATTCTTTTCAGATAAAATCAACACACAAAACCCCCACAAGTTGCATTAAACTCAGTTGTCTTGCAGAAATCAGGTGCAGTTTAAGCATGTGCTCTTGCTGCTGCTATTCATGGTATTCCTCTAAAAGCAGAATCAACCCTAAGCTCAAAAAAAACATGCCCTGCCACACAGTGCTCCTATTTCAGCACTTTTAGTTTAGTGGCACAAGAGATTCTGGAATGTGGCTGCTGAGTCAGGATTAGTGCTCTGAAGAGCTGACTCCTTGTTCTCATTTGTCAGAAGAAACTTGAGAATTGCACACTCAAGTGCTTACACAGGCTGATAATCAATGGATTTTTTTTTTTTTTTGTAAATAACATTAGATCATTGCTTGCTACTCTTGTGAAATATGAAATGTGTAACATGACATTTAAAAGATGTGTAAATGGACTGCGCAATTTAAAAGAGAGGAAGAGCACTAAATTCAAAATTGATACAGTTTTGCATGCAAAAAGGTTGGGTCTTTTGAGACTTCTCATTAATTCTCTGCCAGCTTGGACAGACTGTGACTTGCAATTCCTAAATCTGCTAGAAATTTACATGAGGTTCCTATAGTGGTTTAAAATCTACTGCTATGTTACTCTCAAAAATATAACCCTTCCATTTCACCCTGGTCATGTATGATGCCTGTAGCTAACAATAGTTTTCAGAATATCGCTTATTATTATTGGCTTGGAAATCAAATTAATTTACACAGAGGTAACTTTTCGTGTGAAAAGCATTATATTGCATGCATATACAAACAATATGATTCCAATTTTTATATATTTTATAAAAATATTACAGCATTTACATATATATTTATATTTTATATATAAATTCCAGATCTTTATATATATTATATAATTTAATAATTAAAATCTTTATATCTATAAATCTAACATATTTATATATGTAAAATCTATAAGAAATTCTATTTCTCTTTCAAAAGAGAAGAGCGATAAAAGAACAGCAAACTTTTTTTTACCCTTTACCCTGAACCTATCCTTTACCCTGAACCTATCAAACCAGACTCGTATCTCTGATGAATGACTACGCAGTGACAACCAAAACAGAAAAACATATGTAATTTTGACTTTTTATTTTTTAGACTACAGAAAAAGCAAAAGTAAATGCACAACTCCCTTAACCGCACATGTATAATCGCTTATGCACACATATACATTTCCTAAAGCAACAGTATGCTAAATTCACGTCTAAATTGCCAATATAGGCAATACAGATCTTATCGGCATCATCAGTCTAGAGAAGAATTTGGCTGACCAGCTCTTTAATACTTAAAAACTAAATCTGCAATTATTACTGATACCTTAGAAATTAAATGTAACGCAATCAATCATAAGCAAAAGTATTACATGCAGTGTTACATTAAAACTAAATGTCGGCATTAATAAGAGGACACTCTCCTAAACGCTCAGAAGTTCATTACTCCATTTTGCAATCAAAAATTCACAATTATTAGTAACTGTCATTTAAATCAACTATAAAATCCTTCTTCAATAAATGGTATTAAGACTTACAGTCTATAAACATAAATAGAAGGGTATCCTCTCTCATCATTCATATCCATCACCTTTTATTTGCTATGTAAATAAAAGAGCACTGACAAATGGTTCTATTTCAATATTGTTGTTAAGAAGAATTTGCACAAGCAAACATTTTATTTATATTTATATTTATATTTATATTTATATTTATATTTATATTTATATTTATATTTATATTTATATTTATAGATATCAATTAATTGAACAGATTTTCTAAATTAGGTGACATCATACAAATACAAGATAATAAGTTAATGTAGATCCATGGAAATAGTTACTAAAGTCAGAAAAAAAAAGAAAAAAAGGTTTTACCCCAGGACGTATAACTTTTGCACAGTCCTCTGCCATTTTTCCATGTATTAAAATATTGATGCTGTTAATTCTTGAACATAAGTCATCTGAATCTAGGAAAAGATGCAGAAATTGTTCCAATTACTATAATTTTCTCGAACCAAAACAACAGTGGAAAGGAGTTACAAAAAAAAAGTATGGAGTTCAATATTTTTTATTCAAACAAGGAAAATTCTTTAAAATAGTTACACAATTGCTTTGGTGTGCTCACATTAGCATATCAGGTAGAATATTCTCCATAAAATAATTAACTCAAGAAACTGAATTAAAAGTCTTTAAACAGATTTCTAGCTGTTTTTGTTTCAGAAAATGCTTAAATGTGTATTTTTGTCAGTTGTTTAGGGTAAGAGGCTGAGAGACATACTATTAAAACCACACACATATATAATGCATTTTCAGGACTATATTTTAAAAGGTTTTGCAACAAGAAGCCTGCTGAAATACAAAGACCTTGCTTCCAATAACTTATCCGATATAAACTTAAAATAATACATTTTTTTTTAAGGAATTGACAGAAGATTTATAGAATGCAGGATATGCCACAGAATATTTAAACTGCATACATTTTACTGGACACCAAAAAAGCAGGTACTAGTGATCTAATAGCATGGCATTAAAAATGGTGCTCAACAAAATTATTTTTAATGTAATGCAATACCTTGAAGAACAACCTTGAAAAAGTCTGTCCCATCTCCGAGTTTTGTTATTGCGTAGGAAAGAACAACTATTCCCTAAAAAGGAAAAAGAAAAAAAAAGTAAACTAAAAAATAAACTACATTTATATATCTATGCCTGTTACTGAAACACTGCCTACAGTTGAGATATCTAGACATTAAAAAAAAAAAAAAGAAAAAAAAAGTGTTCTGGTAGAGATAAAAGAGGGACCATGTGTCCATAAATACTAAAGTAGCATAATGAGAACAGACAGATAAATTACAGAGGTATTACAGAATACATTTTCCACAGAACGCTAGATTTAAACAGAAAAAATGGAGACACATATTTCGACACTCTTGTAGGATAGATCTATTAAGGTTTTAACAATCAGCATCCACATAAAAAGCTTCAGAAATGTTCTGAAATCTGCTGATAAATACTTAAAGTTTTTCTGCCCGTTTACCAAATTATAATTTTGTTTAAAACATACTTCAGAGCACATACTTCTTGCTGAGATTGTTTCTCTTGAGCAGTATTCCTGAGTAAACAAAGTATTGGACAATTTTTCTTGTATGAAAGTCTAATAAAAGAAAGTCACTTCAGCAACATTGTTAACTTTTTTTTTCTCTTTTCTGGTGAAATTTCAATCTGCACAGGCTTGCAATTTGAAAACAGAATACACTGAGGAGCGAGGGGCTCTGCTTTCTAACCACTGGTAGTTGTTCATTTTCTCTCCTACGTTCTGCTCTTTTCCAACCTTGGGAACATGCTCTTCTCTATAATAGTCTGGCTCATCTTGCTTTCCTCAGTATCCCAAACACCTGCTCCCTAGTTCTCCTCCTCATTAGGAAAAGAAACCCAAATTGTCTAATCCTTTCTCGATACACTTTTAGTTTCAGCAAAACCTGCCTTAGTCCCATTGACTCCCCCACAAATTCTGCACTGCTCTTTTAAAACCACAGACAAACTTCTTCCAAGGTCTTCCTCCTTCCATATGCCACTAGTCTCATGCCCAGACTGCCCAGGTACAGTTGTCCTAATGACTGCCTCCCTGCTTGCCAGCCTGGTTTCTCCCCCAGCCCAGCAGCTGACCAGGCAGCTGCTCTGGGACATTGCAGCACATTTGCACATTGGGTTCAGCTGCCAGAGCTCCTCACTCTAGAGGAGGATGAACAAAAGACAGGAGATAGCGGCTTCAGCCAGAGCAAAGTCTAATGGAAGACTCGTGCACTTGGCTTATGCCACATTCCCACAAATTGAAATGAAATGTTATATTCTCCAAAGGGAGGGCAGAAAACAATGTTTCAGAAAAGGACCAAAAAACACATCCCAGGCAGAAATTCCCCAGATTTTTGTTGTTTTATTTTTTCCCCCCTCTAGAACTCATTTCACAAAATCCTCCCCTCCCTTCCTTCTGACTCCAAGCAGGACCTGATTACTATTTTGGGAACTCCTGAGTGACAGTGTGCTCTGCTACCACTAAGATTACCTAACATCAGTGCATTTTAAGGTCTGCTTCAAGCCCAGCCTGCAGGACTGGGGTCTCCAAAGTACTTAATGATGCATTAGCAGTAAGTGCTTTATCAGCTCTTCAGCGGCCCTGTTTTTATGCCAGGCTGTTTTAGTCACTTGTTTATCCATGTTTGCAGAAGCAGGAGGTTCTCTTCATATAAGCCAAAAGAAAAAAGAAAAAAATATATATACCTATAGCAGTAATATATTTTAAATCATAGTCAGGCCCTATTTGTTCTGCTTTCCTACTAAAGACATTGATTTTGGCATAAACATTTTCCAATTTAGTGTCTGGTTTTGTCTGCTTCAACATTTTTTTCTGTGATCAAGAATTCCTCTACTTCAGCATCAGCAGTGCCTGAAGAACTAGCTCTTAAAAAGAAAGAAGCTTATGTGCCCTGCAGGTGAATGAGGATAGAAAACTGAACCCAAAGGAATAGAAATATTCTTTATTAGTTGTATTGGTTATTGATGTTTCCATTTGTCCCTTTACAAGGCCTAAGGGAGGCTGGGTCACTCTTTTTCATTTATGTCATCAAGCCACCATCCATCATACTCTTTGCTTCCAAAAAGGGCAGTTCTGCTCCTTTCTTCTTTACACATTTGCACTGTTCCTGGCATCTCTCTGATATCGCACAAACCAGTCCAGGCAGCCCGGGCAGCTAAAATCTATTCTCCGCACGTTACCACCAACAGTCTTCTGCCAAGTTATTTCTCTGACTGGACTCTTCACGGAGTCAGATAAGCACTACGACTGGAACTGGGAATATACAGCTGAAGAAACAAAGCTATTCTTGTTGGCTGCAACATGTCATTAGACTTTCATAAGCTCCTAGTTTTAAAATGTGTATCCCATTTTTAAGGGCTAAAGCTACTCTAATGTTTCCTAAGGAATTTCTTTTTTTTTTTTTTTTTTTTGGGTAACAGATAGAAGTGAATTGGGATTGGGATGATGTTGATCTCCTGCCCTGTAAGCACCAGAGATGACAAACAGAATTTTCCACAACATTGACAAAATGGTTAATGGATGTAAAAACCATTTAAAGAATTGACATCGTATTTTCCAGAGTGTATCCGTTTTGAGGATGAAAAAAATACTTCTGTACTTTACTAGTACACTATGACTGTACTTGAAAATATATGCCTAAGTATCTCTTATACTTATTCCAATTTAAAGTGCCACTGGGTCGGTGAAAAATACTAGCAAGAATGCACACTTAGCCATGATAAGCAGGAATCGAAACTTGGCATATGCAGCTGCATGTTAATGTGATTTTATATGTGTCTGTAGTTTAGAAAGTAGAACAAACACTCTTACAAAATTCATGTCTTTAGCAATGTAAAACTGTGTGGAGAAATTACAGACCAATGAGGTCAAAAGCAGAAATTCAGTGAAGTTCTATAAGCTCAACATTTTGCATTGTTTAAATAAATGTAGTTGGGAAATATGCATATGCACAAACACATACACACAGACAACAAGCCTTCAAATGAACTAGAATGTGGAGATTCCTTGTAAACATAGCAGGAAAAACTGTAAGATAAATCAAAATTCTCTTGTTAGCAAGTTACCTGAAAGTATTTGTTGGTATAATCAATTCCTTCTCGCAAGTGTTTTAATTCCTCTTTCTGCAAGTGACTTGGTAGCGGAACCTCAGATTCTCCTTTAATGATCTTCAGCAACTGAACAGGCATTTTTGCTGCTTTCTCTGAACAAATATAAAAAAGAAAGTCCTGAAGTTGCTCAACTTGCTCAAATTACGAGCTACTAGACGTTCCAATTTTACTCAGAAAGGGACATCCATTTAATCACAAAAGAGTTCAACTATTTCAGATTAAATCTTTCATAGCCCTCAGCCTCATATCTTATTACCATGAACAGAAAGGAGAAAGTAACTTTTGTTGAAGATAGACCTCCACACAAACTATTTTATTCTGCAAACATTCCATGACACTTCAAAAGGAGACAAAATACTACATTACACATGCTTAAATGTATACATGCACAAAGTAAGGATGAAACTGAGAGTAATGTAAGGAGTGTGACCATTATGCATAGAAACGCCTATTAAAAACTGAGCAGATACTTTGAAAGACAAAGCAGATATTTTTGTCTCCTTGTCAGAAGTTTCTTCCCAAGCAAAATCTTGAAGTACAACTGGAGCTGAAGCACAGTACAGCATACAAAAGCATGGAGAAAAGGAAGCAGTGCTGATACGCTACAGAAGTCCCTGACTTCTGAACTTGTTTGCACTCTAGTCAAAGTTCCCTCATTACTCCTCCACTCAGCACACAACAGGAAAAAAGGAAAAGCACTAAGGCTGTGCTTACACAAGGCTGTAAGAGAGCTTTTGGACAAGGAAAGCTGTTAACAACCAACTTAGTTTGTTAACAAAGCCAGTCACCTGGCAGATCATGGAGATGAGGACTCCTATAACCGCATCCACAGCGTGCTGCCTTGACAGGAGTTACTTGCACCAAATCCAATGTCTGAAGCAGGGATGAGTCACCCTGGTGGCAGGAGCCTCTGCAGACCTCCAGAAACACTCCCTGGGGCTCTTCAAGGGCACCTACTACATTTGGGGTAGTAGTTCCTAAAGTAGGAATACAGCCGATACAGTCCTGAATGTCAGCTCCCACTTCACCTAAAGTAACACTCATCTTACATCCAAAGCTAGCTTGCACCCAGCTTATCATATCAAACAGTATATAATTTTCCTCATGATAAACAGCCTACTCTTTAACAACTCATGCTCCCTTTAAGGCAATCTGGGTGCTTCGAATAAAATTATGTCCAATTTCAACTTATATGAACATATAGTGCTTATACAGAGATTATTTCATATGCTGATCAGGAGAATCAAGATCAAAGTTTTAACTTCATATCTCACATACTTCTGAATGAAGTTGCAGGGTATTGTCTATAATCTCTAAAATATATCCTACATAACACACTATAGGGCACAGATCAGTGACAGGAACTCAAAGCATTTAGAAACCAACACTCAGTTGACTGGTGAATAAAACGTGACACCTTCAGGGCTTGAAAGCTTTACCAGACAGCACGGAAGCCCCATGACAGCTGGGCACATCACACCTCTCAACTTGCCAGTGTTAGAATAGTTGTAATAGACAGAGCTACATCTCTAACAGCTCAATTAATGAGTAGTAACAGATTTTACCACTGATAAAAATCTTGATGAGGACCACTCTGAGTTTCCTATTATACTTCTACATGACTTAATTCCTGTTTATTTCTTGTTTTAATTTACTAAATTAAAATAGGACTAGGATTACAACATCAAGGATAATATTTAGAAATGTTAAAAGCAAAATGCTGTCAAGGCTTGACTTGTCATTCATACACTTACTCAACAGAGTTTCCACAGAATTTCTTGGGATGCAGTGCACTGGAGAGACAGTAATCGGGGAATAAATTCTCACTAAACCAGGTATCTCAGTTTTAATTACCAGCATTCATTGTACTAGCTTTCATTTTCTGAGTGAAATATTTGCAGAGGAGCTTAGCGCTTGTTCATGTTAGTGCCAATGAAAACCAGGTCTCGCATAAATCACTAAAAAAAAAAACTAACAAAAAATTGATCTAGAACTAAGGTTTTTTTCCTCACATCTTATCTTGTAGATATGAACAAACAGGTCACAAATCTTTAATTGCTAACCATCAAAGCTCCCAGATTTTGATTCTCAGCAATGAAAAACCAGACCCTGGTATCAGGTCTTAGAGCTGCAAGTTCCAGTTTTCCAAACAAGACACAACACTGGCTTCCCAAGCGGACATCTTCAGTGCTGTCCCTGGTGCTCGCAGCCCTCCTGAACAGCAGCTAAGTGACAATAAGTCTGTCAAGTATCTCTGTTATTCTCAAAAGGGCCACTGCATAAAACTGACAAGAATCATTCTAATTTCAGTTTGCTGCTCAAGCAGTCTAAGAAGCATAAATACAGCTATTCAGAGGGGATGATGCCATAAAAAAAAAAGAAAGGACCCTGCAAGAACAGTAGGCAGCATCGTGGAACTAGGCTGAGAGCTAAATAAAGCCATTTCCCAAACCACGGAGTATCTCTGGAGAAAACGTCACCAAAACGGTGTAACAAACAAAGAGCCAATAGCATATACTGATATGGTCAGTCAATATGATGGATTTCTGAAGGTCCTATAAACAAATATATTCATCAGTGTAATATCTGGGGCTATGAAAAAAAAATAAAGCAATTCCAAATTAGACAATGCTTCACTTTACAAGTGTTCATACTGCAAACAGTGGAAAAAGTGATCTTTGACTTAATGAAACCAGTAGGACTAGTCATGAAGAAATATGAATTTAGAATTTTTAGAACACAATCCAACAGCACAGTGTGTGACCCCTAAGGAAGGGAACCATCACGTCAGTTAACTAAGACAGACAGACCAAGATGCTCCCTTATGCACAGGCCTCCAGCTTGGGGCTGATACAGCCCACTAGGTCCCTATCTGCTCACCAAAAACTTAAACTTATTGTCCTAGTATCACCAACGGTACTTCCAGATCCCTCTTACCCACACACCTACAATTAAAAAAAATGAAAATTAAAATAAGGACAGAAAGAGGACAAGAGAGTACCAAAGACTCACTCACTTCAGTTTATTAAGTTAGTATAAGACGTTATAAAGCAGAGGAAAGGCCGTGGCTCCACACGACGCGCAGAGCGGCCCCGAGGCTGCCCTCGTGCCCGGGGAGCCGCGGCGCGGCCCGCAGCCGCCGCCGAGCCCCGCGCCCCGGGCGGGGAGCGCGACGCGGGGCCGGCCCCTTCCGGACGCTGCTGCCGCCAGCTGCCGCGGGGAGGGCAAGTCTTTGAAAACAAGAGCCCAGGCACACCAGCAGAGATGCAGCAATAATAATGATGATGATAATAATAATAATAACGGTGATAACGAGGCGCCGCAGAGCCCGCGCGCCCCACGGGCGGCCCAGGCCTCCCTCCCTCCCGGCCACGCTACCTCTCTCCGGGTGCCCAGGGGACCCAGGCCTCGGCTGCACCCCCCACTTCCGCCCTCACTGGTCGCCACTCCCCACCACACTTCCGCCCGCACCGGCCACCAGGAGCACGCCCGTAGGCGCTGCGCATGCGCGGGCGGCCGCTGACATGCGCAGTGCGGATGGGGGGGGGGCGGCGGCGCACTGCCGCCGGAGGGTTGTGGCTGCTCCCAAGGTGCTGATCCAGACATGGAGCGGCCAGAGCTCGGGAGCTGCTTGGAGAGGGACTCACTGGCACTCGTTGTCATCGTCACCGGTGACAGCCTGTGCTGGAACATGTTGCTTTGCACTGTTACCGTTCTCTGAATTCTAGTTGTGTGCCTTCCATTGGGCACCAGTATAGTGTGCTGCTTACAAGGAACAATAATGCTAGGACCTGGTTGGGCAAGCATGACAAAAACACAGACTGCCATCTTATCTGGCATTTGCATTGTTTGTTTACGCCATGCTGGAAGGGAAACCACGGAGTTTAACAGTCTGCGTCTTTCCAGAGTGCTTGTCGTGCACTATGGACCGGATGCAGAATTTCCATGTAATTTTGTAGGGGCCATTTCAATTATACAAAGCTAAAAAATCCGACTTGGGAGAGATATTTTGGTGCATCTCAGGCAAAAGTAGACTTTGCATCTGGCTGCCTGTTGAGCTTGAGCTGATATAAACTGGTTACTTGCAAATACTGGGGAAGACAGAGCTAGGATGCAACTGGTACCATCCTCTGTACCCTTGAGGACTAATGATGTGTCCTCCCATCTGGGGAGATCTGTGAAGTACGAGGCCAGCTATCCTGCCAGAGGAGGTGGCAAAATTGGTGTGACCTACTTTTTTTTATAGTATCAATCCAAGTCTAGATGAATGTGACTTTTATGTGTGCTGTCCTATAAACAATCGACAGAAACTGAAGTTGTAGAAGTAGAATCTTAATAGAAGAAGACATGTGTCACCTGCATCCAGAGAAAAGGTGTTGGATATTTTGTAAATTTATCCGGATTTTAATCTGATTTTCCTAAATTTCTACATTATTTTTAATGATAGGCATCCCTCTTTTCATTAGTTCTGTCTTCAAAAATTGTTCAGTTTCTGCCAGAAAAAATATATATGTGAGGTTAGTTGTACAGTATATTATATTAAATTATATTAACTTATTTTTTCATGTTCTAGCAAGAATGTACAGTATGTTTCATCTCAGTAGCAGCAATCATGAAACGTGCTGCATTTACTGATACAGTAGAAAATTATACCTCTAATAGATCTGCAGAGCAAAAAAGAACAGAGTTCTGTTGTTGATACTGGTTTTCTGTGTGACTTTCAATCAACCAAACTGAAATTTTCACTAGTAAATGAAACTTCATAAATAAATAGTAATTTGGCAGTCTTGTAATTTTTTGAACTTCTGTATTGAAAGGTGGGATCACAAAAATAGTCTACAGGTAAGTGGATGTTTTAGCCTGGGCTTCTAAACATGTAGGAATTCCTGAAAGTCCCAATGGAATTGAAATGCTGATTCCACTAAAAATACCTAAACGCATTCAGTCCCGAGGCAGAGATCTTTCACAACACACCTTAAATAATGTAGGATGTTATTAAGTGGTGCATAGAAAGACTCATCCTGAACAGGTGCCAATTTTCCTCGTTACCTAAAAATAGGAGAATATCCAGGAAAAAACCAAGAGGCTAAATGTTGGCAGAGGTATGAAGAATGTGTTTGCTATTGTAATACGATTCTGGAGGCAGCTTTGCTTGTGACAGTTCCATGTTTTGCTCTGTGATTGTGTTCTTAACTAATATATTTATTAATAGCATTTTATTTTCTAATGGTGAAGCCACCCAAACACCTTCTCTAGAAATGAATCTTTGTTATTATCTCTTTGCATAATAATTGTTCTATAATTCAAGTAAAATGCTCCCTAGCTCTAAGATTATAGAAATGTTGCTCTTTATCTAAAACCTCAGCTGTTTGACTATTTACAGAAGTTTGTGCTTCCGTCACTGATGCTTATAGGCATATATTGCTATGCAAAAATAAATATAATTTATATAATTTCTCACTGAGTTAATGTTACTATGACACATAGTCTTGGAGCAGAATAATAATAAAAAACAACACTTCAGGGGCAATGGATCTTTTCTTTCACTGCAAACACAAAATAAAAACAGCCTTAAGAAGTTTATGCAAGACAAATGCAATATTAATATGTACAAGGTAATTAAAATCAAAATAGCATTATTTCAGCATTTAATCTTTTCTGCTTGTGTTTAATTGCAGGACATATTTTTGTATGTCAAATATATATTGTATGCAAATTTTGGTAAGTGCATTTCAGGTATTCATAACAACAGACAAGAATTTAGGCATGCATTTTCAAAAAAGTTTCTTAAAAGAGCTTATTGAGCGGCAAAATTGTATGAGCACAGATAAACAGAACAATTTCTCTAACAATGTGTGTGATTTCATCCATTACTCACCACATCTTGCTGAGTGCATCCATGTAGTACTCGGCGTCTAATATTTTTATGGACTTAGGGAGACTTAGAGTCACCTGGAATTTTGCAGATAGGAGGATTCTTCAGCTGTGTGAATTCCTTACTTAGCTGACTACTGAGGTCTTTTGAGAGAGCCTGTATGAGTTAAATGTCCATTACAGTAGCAGAACAGATACTCAGAACCTCTCAGATGTGTTAAGTATCTTCAGAATTAAGAATAAGGAATAAGTGTGCAGGAAAGCTCTTACAAGATTGGCAACAGAGTTGTTCCCTTGTTCTCCAAAGTACAGCACTCCTAGGAAGCATGGTAAGCTAAAAAAATGCCCTTAAAAAATATCCTATACTGAGAATGTTGATTTCCTGATGTAGTATAAAAGCATTTCAACAACTTGAGGAAATGGTCTGCAGAAAATAAGATGCAATCACCAAATGAAAGATACTGCACTTAAGCAAAAATGCTCAACTCCATAAATATATGTGGGTAAACAATCTGTTAAGTGACTCTGCTGTAGAGAAAAAACAGAATGAATCACAGGCTGATCATGAGTCAACCATACTTTTCTGAAAATGATCAATAGCATACGATATGTGTTGTATATTAAGTAAATTTTCCATTCAGGAGCTTTGTTAAGCTGGAATGCTGTGCTCAGTATTCATAAAAATTCAAGAAAAGTGCATGTCAATTGGAGAGGGCCTGTAAAAAGATCAACAAGAATGACAAAGGACCTAGAAAACAAGGTTTCCAAGTATGAGTGGAAAGACCTGGGGTTATTTAATCTAAAGATAAAGAAGGAACTTGTTGGATTCATATGATCTCACATCATAAAGGAAGCTGCAAAGAAAAAGCATTTTTTTCCATGTATCCGTGGAAGATAGTAGAAGAAATAATAAGCTCAAATTCAAAAAATAATTACGAAATTTAGTGGGGAAAACTTTCTGGCAAAAAGAGTGTTGAGGTAAGGAAAGGAATCATCTTCCTGAAATCCACTTACTTACTTTATTTATTTATTTATTTATTTTTAAGATTACATTAGTAAAAGATCTAGTTTACCTGGCTAGTCTTTCTTGCCCTCCATTTTTCTTTTTATGGTTCTCTAATATTTTATATACTATTGTGTTCATTTCTTAATGTCTTTTTTTTTTTAAGTAGATAGCATTATTCTAAGCTGTTTACACTAACTCAAAGCACTCACTAACCAAGGACAAGAGTATTCTCTTGTTCAGGCAGGGAATTAAATATTTAGAATTTGGTACTCTTTATCCGGCTTTGAATTTCATTACATTTGATTGTGTGTGGTTAATACCTGCTTAAAAGATTACATTTAGTTTTATTTCACACTGACTTGCATTATTGTTCATTGGTCTGCCACATTAGTTCTTCATTACTTTTTCTGTATTGACAGTGTTGGTCAATTTTGTGGTTTTTGATGTTAGTAGCTTAATGGTCATCTTTAGACACCTCATAAAAAATCTAAAAATAATGCTAAATGTTTTCAAAGTGTGTTCTTTAATAATTTTAATCAATAGCAAAAAAAAAAAAAAAAAAAGACAACTGGCAAACTGTTTTCCGATATATCATAATTACACACATGTTTAATTAAATTGACGAAAGTTAGGTGCTCAGCTAGGCATCTAATTATATTGAAAAAAATGCAGTTGGATGCTGCATTTGCACGGACTATGGGCATGGGCTCCTGATACTGATTTCTGCATCTTTGATTTAAGAAAGCAATCGAGCATGAAGAAGCATAATAGCTAATAGCACAGCAGGGGCAATAAATTTGCATGGGATTATTAATCATGATACAATGTAAATCTATAGAGAGAATATGCAAGATGGTCTAGACATTTTCTAAGACTATTTCTCCCAGAAGACATATTAGGAAGATACATACAGAACATATTTGTGACTACCTCTAGGAATAGGAGGCTTTCTTTACTAAACAATTTCATACATTATATTTGTGTGTGTAATTTTATCTGGTCATAGCACAAGATAACTGATCAAACACGGTTCATTTGAATATGTCATATCTTATGTGGAACTGTCTCCAGAGTGGAAACTAAACCAATTAGGATTACAGAAATTTTAGCTACTCTGTGCCTTGGTGGATTCTTCAACACAGTGTCCATTCCTTCTTGAGAGTAAGAAGTAGGAGCAGAAACTACTGATGA